TCTCAGCATTTTTATCTGGGCACTACTGCATTCTACTATAGCTAAAATGTCTAGGCCTTTAATGAAGCCAAAACATGCTCTTTTCACTCGTATTCTTCGCTCCTTTCAATACACAACAACACCTATATTTGAGGAAACCTCTGTTCATCCAGAAAGTCATTGTTTCTATGGTAAGACCCATATGGTTAGCATTATACATCTGTAATGTATATTGTCGTTCCAAAGACTCGATAGCTCATTCTTGAGATTATCTTGTTGATGATATGCTATCCTTAATTGTGTTTCCTACCATTTTGTAGTACTTTCTATTCCTGAAATAGCTTTTAATCACGTATGGACATGCACTTACATAAATATAGGCTGCTCATCAGTTGACCATAATCATAAACCAGAAATGAACAGAAGTTCGTGTTGGCGCTAAACATTGATGGCGACTTTAGTGAAGAGTTTACAATTTAATATATATAGGGACCTGTTCTGAATACTTGTTGTAAGCCAAGTCTCATAAACTCCAAGTGTCCAGCTCTTACTAAGCTGGACCTCAAGCTCTCCCTGGAGGGCTTTTAGAAACAATTTGTATTAACCAACGCGAAAATCAGAACACTGATTGGCGATTCAAGAATCCTTCATTCTTACGCCAACATAGAACCAATGATAATATTATTACAGAAGGTCTCAGAAAAATGTTATTAAAATAAATCACTGTATTACTTCTGACGGTTTTTGATCTTCTTTCTGAACAGCGACCGATGAGACGATGACTGGTGTATTGATGCCTCCGCGAAAATATAGGGAAGTTGGGTTTGAGCAAACAACCATGAATTGATCGTTCAGCCTTCAATTACATTGACACTCCCCGGCAAAAAAGGGATCCATCCCTTTTTTCCACCACGACCATTACACGTTGACTTGGATGTCAATACGAGAACCTGGACCATACGGACAAAGCTGAAGTGGAAAACAAACAGAAAAGCCAACACACCACAGGCATACCCGCAGCAAAATCACACTCATCGACGATGACCTACGCCTTCCAGTTGAAGGCATCCTCTTGACATCTTGCAACACAATCGCCACTTACTAGAATGACTCTTGCAGAACGCAACGTGACCATAGCAGCACCTCATGATACTCTTCGCACATCCTCTTATCTATTCACCACCAATTACCACTGCGATCGCTTGTCACTCATTCTGCCTTAGTTCTAGTAACGGTGACGTATGCAAGACTCAGTCATCTACACTCTTGTCCCCCAGCATGTGGGACCACGGCCTAAATAGAAACATTTATTCTCAGTCATTGATTCCACAGCTACTCCTTATCTCCGTGTGTACGTCATTCTCAGCAATAGCCTCCCCGGCGTATACGACCCATCTGTTGTCTTTAACATCAATCAACTCATTCACGGATGTAGAAAACTCAAGGCAACTTCAGAAGTAAGCACGACGAAAAATTTAACAAAACTATGCATAACGACGAGATACGAAAACAACAAGTAAACACAATGAATCCAAAGAACACCAATTGATATGACACTCCACACATATAAAAAACAGTGCACATAACCTCGCAGATCATGTCTCGATGTGATTGCTTTGAAGAATTGCAGGACTTACACCAGTACGCCTGCAACCCTTCTCAGGTTGACGATTGGGAGTTAAGAAATGTCCGGACACAAGCAAGATTAACCAACAATTACATTAATTGGAACCCATACAATTATTTAACACAAACATATGTACAATCAATACATCAAATGCTGTGGATTCTGCCATGACGAACCACCCTTGAAGAACTGTAGGACTTACAGCAGTACGCCTACATTCCTTCTCAGGTTGATGACCCAAGTGGAAGTCGTCCGGACATAAACAAAATTACCAGCAGATAGATGAAAGATGATACCAATTCAGTATATACAACATGAACATATGTACAAAATCCATACCAAGCACGTTGGGCTGCCCATTGATGCGCTACCCTTTGAAGAATTGTACGACTTAAAGCAATAGGCCTACAACCCTTCTCAGGTTGACGCCCTAGGTTGGAAAATCGTCGCAGAGCTCATTTGCTGATTAACTTCTATTACCTCTATCTTCAAATCTGAACGGTAACACGCTCATGTCCTTGTATCGTAGAATATAGACGATTAACAAACACACGACGTATCTGATCAACCAAGCGTAGAAACAGTAATTTACACCAAAGATAATAGCATTCAAATAGTAACATGGAACTTGAGAAACCTTTATTCATGCAAGTCAATTCAACAATTACCCTATCGTACACACTTGGCTTATCTTCACTAAACTGACCAATATCTTTCGTCTTTTCAAACGGACTGATACAAACATAGTCATAGCACAAGGCACTTGAGTTCGTGGGCGTCTTTTTCATTGTGGATGACAACACCGACGAAGAGTGATTGATACCAGTTGGTGGACTCAGCGTTGCATCAAAAGCTGTTGTCGTTCGGCTTTCATAAAGTTGTCTAACTGCAAGATTACCACCACCGCTGTATTTTATTATCAACTCCAGTTTAGCATTAACATCTGTTGATAGGTGGGCTACACGCTGATCATTTACACTGACGGTCTCATGAATATCAATACCTTCTACCACCGCATTTGCTCTTAATTCTACTTCACGTTCAAGTTGTACACAACCTTTGTTCAACTCAGAAGTAGTAGGCATTCCCCTCATCTCATCATGATCAACCAAAGACAGAAGTGCACTATCACGATCACTATCACAAATATTCACTTTACCGTCGTCTGTCTGGTCGACTTCATCATTTTCAAACACTTTAATAACAGAAGTAGACAATTTGGGTTCTTCCTCACAAATCCTTAAAGGTTTTATACCTTTACTCTGACCAGTAATACCCTGTAAACTTTTGGAGTCAGAACTGGACTCTGAAACTGTAACTCTCTTCTCCTGCATAAACTGTGGTGTCGTCTGTGACACTCTATTCAACAATGACTTGCTAGTTGCAACTACAGGCTTCTTCACTGCACCATTATCGTCACACAATTCGTAGTCCAAACTTGATGACGCTGATTTCACATTTAGCTTACTACTAAACTTGCTCAGTGATTCACAGTTCGTCCTTGCATGCAATTCTTGCAAACGGGTAAAAAGCAAACGAGTTTGTCTCGCAACTTGTAACCTATCTGTTGGGGATGTCCCACTAAAGCTGTTACACTCACTAAGTTTACATGGATTACTAGACACCATAAAGCTTTCTCGATATCCACTTCTCTGAAATCCGTCCATCATAAATGATTGCGTTTTGCTCTCAGACTTCTCTATTCTGGGGGTGGGATGCAATATACTGGCAAACTTACTCATAGATTGATTGACACTATCGTTTACCGGTTTCAGAATATCATCGAACTTTGGCTCAATACCTTCATCCTCTATACGAGAGCTTATCTTCACCCACTTCCTTTGCAGTCGAATAGGTAGGCGTCCCGCTATTACCTCTGGGATGGAACTTGAGTTCAGATCGCTCATGTAATTCATCGAAATCAACCTACTCTTGTAAGTCATTAAATTATCCAGAAACTCAGTGAGTGCCTTGGAGTCATCTCATTATGGACTTCCATTACCTTAAACAGCCTCGAATACATTCCTTACAATCATCGAAGGCCTTCCAAACATTTTACGCAGGATACTCATGGCCTCAGAATATCCTTCATTTGGATTCATAAACTTACAGCACTGTATAGCTCTACGGAAACTCCAGTGCAACATTTGAACAAATACATCAACTTCATTTCATCATATATTGCTAACCTACTCAACATGACTTCAAACTATTTTACAAACTGTGGATAGTCAGCTGGGTTTCCGCCGAAACACGGAGGCTCATATTAATATATGTGTAAAACCCGGGCACTGTGGTAGTATATATTCTATATTAATTTGTTTATTAGATATATCACACAGTTATCCAGTAAACAATACTCTTTCACTGTGTAGTATTTCTAACAAACAGACTGATATGGAGGCTTATATTTAGGTAGTTTCGAATTCCTATGATCCCCAGACGACACATTATAACCAAAGTTATCATGCCTAACGTCACACGCATCATTACATTTAACAGACAACTGAGTTTTACTTACTTTCCTGCTTGCTTCCAAGACGCTTTGTCCTTTCTTTGACCCAGGCATCATTAAACTTGACCGAAAATTCGAGAAAGTTCCAGATAATACTTGTCCAAAGAAGAATTGCAGACACCGGGAAAGACGAACAGAAACTATTAGAAATTGCAAGCCAACTCTCAGAAGCTGTCAATGTCCAGCTCTTACTACGCTGGACCTCATGCTCTCCCTGGAGGCTTTCAGAAACAATTTGTATTAACCCACGCGAAGAAACCAGAACACAAATTGGCGACTCGAGAATCCTTTATTCTTACGCCAATATGTAACCAACAATAAGGTTATTACACACAAAGTCTAAGAATTAATGTTATAACAACAAATCACAATAATACTTCCGAGAGTTTTCTCTGTCCTGTAACGAACAGCGAACGATGAGACGATGACTGCTGGCTTGATAACTCCCGCGAAAAATATGGAGGAGTTGCGTTTGAGCAAACAACTATGCATTGATCATTCAATCTTCAACTATACTGATAATATTCTTATTTTAACTTAATAAATATGAGCCAGGTATATATCTTATTCTCTTTCCCACTTAATTGTAGATACCTGAGGGGACACAGCAACAAAGTTGAAAGGTCGGGACTTAACGTGTCAATGTGGTGTATAGCTACAGTTACTTGGTTGAAAGTTCTTAAAAGAAAATATAAGTCATTCGTCACCAAGCAAACTATTTGAATCCTAATAATTTCACTTATTTAATGTACAGCAGTTGCGTATCCAGCGTTTTTAAAATTAATATGCTCTTTCAAAGGCTGAACTATGGGTAGGTGGAGAAAATGACTGAAATTGGTAATGCGTTTGGGTAACGAAATCACACAATGCTATTGAGGATTGAAGTCTATCGACCTCTTTAAGGTTGCCGGTCTTTTTAAATTCCGACGTTGAAAAACTTAGAGCGTGTTCATTAGCTCTTTGCCCTATGATTGGAAATATATTCCATATTCGCAAGGTGTCAGTTTGGAATATTTATTCATGAGTAAATAAAATATGTTCATTTCATTTTAAAATGGAGGATGAATCTTTCACACATTCCCCGCCTCCGAAGAAAATTTGTGTAGATCAAAATCTACCAGAACCCTTCACTTTGGAGGAGGTCTCAAAGCTGCTCAATGTTTGTATTTACAGACAGGAACTTGCAGCTGTAAATCAAGAGTTAGATTTGTTAGATGATATTACAACTAACTACATTGGAGTAATGTTATTGAACAAAGTGTCAAACAGGAGTCGACGACTCGTTCTTTTGCATTGCCCGTCGACCATACGCGAAGCACCCATTTTTGTATTTACATTCCTCCAATGGAAGAAGAGCTGGTTACTAGTGGCATACAAGATTCTAGGATTCTAACTTGCCAATCAAACAGGAACCTGTATCCTCATGTCCAGAGATCGCCTTGGATGCTAAACGAGAAGCTTCTGTCTTACAACAGGTCGCTCGTCTCCATAGAAAAGGCTTGTGGTCTTCTGATCGTCTACCAAAAGTTATGGAGCCAAGGTTTGGGAAAATGCACCATGTCCACCTTCTTAATGAGGCTCTTTGGTTGTCAACAGATTTCCGCGAAGAAAGGAAGTGGAAAAAGGACATGGCTAGTAGGGTGAGTTATGTTAATCTAGCTTCAGTGTTATTGAAATTTCGCACTAGTTCGGTTCCTTAGAAAGCTCATTGTGTATCCTCTTAGCAAATAAATTTGTGTAATTTATGCTTTGGTTAACTAATTAGGCTCAGTCATGTGAATGAACTAAACTAAAATGATTCTTTTTACTTAGTTAACGCCTTAATTTTTTTCATCAGCTGGTTCCACCTGTTCCTTATTCCTTAGTCTGACAGCTCTTAGTCGCGAAACTGTAAAGAACCTATGCATGTATCTGTCCAAAGGGCATCCATGTTCCCAGAAACACTTGGATAATTACACTTCGGATGTGCATTTAGTTGGTTTGACAAGTAAATGGATATGGTGGATAGACTTTGTCTGACAGTGATTCAGTTTTTACCATTATCAATTTATTCCATGTTAAGTGAAGTGCTTCAGAATCAAGAAGTGCAATGGGACTACTCTATGCATGATTCCAAAAACTCCCGTGATATTTACATGCGGCTAGCTAGCACGTGAATTGTGCTTCAGATGATCCAGTTTCTATGTAGAGATGAGTTTTTAGACATGTATTCTATTTCCTCACCAGACTGACAATATGCCGTTAGTCACTTTCAGTGTTCTATAATTGTATTCCTCAACTTAAGGTATTCTGCAGTGATGCTCAAGTTATTACCCTTTTATTTTATAACATACATAGGTCTAATATGTATAGGAAAACCAAGTGCGTTGAGTATATACTGTAGTGCAGATATCTGTAGAATAGTGACACTGCACTAGTCTTACTAAGCAACTATGTTCATAAAACCGCGAAAATTTTTGCCTACTCTTATCCCGTACAAATCATAAGACGATGCTACATTACTGGTCTTCATTAATTCTTAGTTTGATGTAGAGATTAACAATGGTCAAAATCTGCCTAGAAAGTAGTATTAGCTCTGGTTTACTGGTGATAAAATTACCGCGCCGCTCTGCGTTTCCGACTAACGTTATCTTTAGATCTAGGAAGATATTTTGCTAGTCATCTAAGCGTGGATGTATTGTGAAGCGGTTCGCTTCGGAAGACATATTGATGGCTAAAATATGAAAATATTGTAGGTTTATAATCATAGATACTTTCGGTCAGTTATCTACGTTAATTGGAACAAAATAAGTTACACTAAGGTTAGATCTAGTGTATTAGCTGAGGAAGTTATTATCTGTTGTGTTTCCTCAACATTTGATATAAATGAGATGTTAGGTGTATGAAGCCTTATTCAGCTTACTGTTTAAAGTAGACTTAGATGAAGGTTGTAGTTGGTCAAGTAGAAACATGATATCAGTCTTGGAAATCATTAACCGTTCTCTAAGTTATGTGGTTGTAGACTGTTTAATTTGGTTTTTAGAATGCTAAAAGCCGATGGATTGAAACCCGTAAAATGACCCACCTTTATACACGACGCAGGTATGTTCACTATCCATCATCTCGAGATTTTGAACATTTTTGCTAATTGTTATTTTAGTTTTTCCTCTCACAATCTTCAACTACTTAATAGGGTTATTTTAACTCTCCTCTATTTTTATGTGCAACAGTTCATTCTGTTCTTTGTGATTGTGGTCGATCAGTAGCTTTACGTTAGAAAAGCATTATAGTAGTATATGATGTCTCTGTCTGTCTGTTTTCGACATAGAACTTTGCACAAATGTGCGGAAGTTCAAGTCGCCACACTCCGTGTAGCACCGAAGCAAGAGAAGAAAGTACAAGAAAAGCATAATAGAAACAGTAAGCAGAGGTGTGAGACAAAGGAGTAATAAAGAAAACAAAACAGTTTCATTGGAGATCATAAGTCACAAGGAGTGGATGCATCTGCGTCACTGAGAACGATTTTGAGCCATGTCACCAATTGTTTCCAACCATAGATTTTTACCGTCCCGAGGACCCCATCCTGGAAGTCTACACATTCCTACGTGGCTTAGACCAACTGTTGTGGATTTCATTGACTGGTGCCAAGTTTTTGTTTGACCGCCGCTAGCTTTTTTCCAGCCTGACCTTATATTCGCTAACATTGCTCGTCGAGGGAGGCGATGGCTTGGCATACGTAACACATGTCCTAACCATCTCAGTCTTTGTAGCTTCACGACTTCGTCGATTGATTTCCCCTGTTTACCTAGTACTCTACGCCTAACCTCAATGTTGCTCACCTTATTATGCCACTTTACACGGGAAATAGAGCGCAGGCACTATATTTTCTCGGAATTCCCTTTACAGCCAAGCATCTCCAGAGAACTTCTCTATCGACAGAGTCGAATGCTGCCTTTAGGTCAAGAAATATAATGATGTATATATATATGATGTTCTCTACCGTCGATCATCAACATGCTAAGAATCAGTGGTTGGTTGGAGACTTGGTGGTGTGGCTCAAAATCGTTCTTAATGGCACAGATGCATTCACTTTTTATAGTCTTTCAGATCCTTTAAATTCTTGTTATATCACTTTCATTATAGTTTTGAGTTTTTTCTCTGCCTATGTGCTATATAAAGTGTGCCAAGTTGAACTGCTGCAAAGTCCTACGTTGAAAACTCAGTCTTCCATTTTCACACTGTTTTAGGATGTGGCGACGTGACCTGGTATACCTTTGTAGTTATCCAAGTTGGTTTTTGTCTCTGACCATCAATTGTTTTACATTGTTTTACGATCACTAGTCTTGATGTTAGAGATTACTAAGTTTATTTACCTTTCCCACGTATTTTTAAATTTTTTTTTCCAAATGTGTTAAACTAAGATAGGATTCTAATAAGTCGTAAATTTCAATATATTTCCCTCCGTATTTGCCACTTACCAACTTAGCTTGCTCGCGCAGCCCAAGTTTATCTTATCACACGTCATGAATGGAATCAACAGATTCAATACTTTGAAGAACAGTTGAGAATGAGAAACGCTGCTCGGGTGGCAAAAATGATCAAAGATTGGTGGAGTGGAATAAATCAGGTAAGTAAAAAATGTGAATTTTTGTCTGACATCGATAGGTGGTATTATGTTCTTATACATCTTTGTTATTCTAATCTTCACTTCGTTATCTTATTTAAATGCCTAGTTCTGTTTATATGTTGATTTCACGCGCATTCGTCAACTGCTTTTACAGAGTGGTTTTAATAAAATTAAATGCTTAAGTATCTATTATCCTTATTTTAGAGCTTGGATATCCTTCGCATGAAGTTGCACCATAAACGGTGGCAATATGCTTGTAAAGAAAATCAAGATTCTGTAGTCCAATTTTCCGATACTTCACTAAGCTGGTGGGCTGCTTTGAAGTTTGACTTCAAGAATGAAAAGTTCCAAAAACCTGATTTATTACAAATTGCTCCTGATGAAAAGATCTTGTCATACGTTGATGGCGATGGAGACATGGATGATGAAGACTGGAAGCCAGAAATAGAGAGTGAAAGTTCTACTGTCTCAGATAGTTGCAGCAGTTCAACTAGCAGTAGTTTAGCATCAAGTTTTCTGGATGACAGCGATATTAATGCCTCGGGAGTCACACCGTACTCACCTTCTGATCCTTTGTCTTCAGAACATTACCATTCTGAAATGACTACTCCTATCGCTTTTAATCAGAATGACAGACAACTTGGATTAGAGAAAGGACAAAAGAACCAAGAGATGCTTCCACACGATTCTGATTGTGAATCCCGAGATGGTTCAAACGCATCACACAACGTTAGCACTGAAGAAACTCAAAAAAGTCAGGCATCACCTGAACCCGGTGATACTAGTGTTGAGAGCATTGAAGTGCAACATTTGGTGTCTGACACAAAAGTTCCTTTGAATCACCTGCTTGAAACATATCTCCAGCAAGGATTGTTCATGAGAGAAAAAGTCAAATGTGAACCCGGATCTTGTTCTTCAGATTCAGACACATCCAACGGCGAAGTTGATTGTCACACTTATGTTGAACTTCCAAAGGTAAGTTAGATTTAATATATTGTTTGTTTCTGTTGTTTTACAGTGGAGTTTGAGAAAAGAGTTACTTACCTTTAGTGTATTGTTCTCCATGTTAATAACCATTTGAATTGAATTGTAATACAAATGTAAGTAGCCAAACCTCCATAGAAAAAAAATCCTTTTTGAGAGTTGTTTGTAACAGCCTAAATGTTGGATATTTTTTATTGTATCAGAATAAGGACAGTTCGCCACACAGATATAACTTTCTTAGTCAAATTTCTAAGTTTACCGAAAGCGTCCATTAGAATATTTAGGAGAAAACGTGATTCAATCATTGAAACTTTGTGTTTAACTCAACTATCCCACAGTCGACTCGGTAGAATAATCTACCTGACAATCATATTCTTATATGTAACCTTAACATTTTTAGTAATGTCATGCTAAAAATAAACAGTACTCCTCTTTACATAATCTTAACCCGACATGAATTAGTAATTGATGTCTGCATATTCGGGGAGATATGAAGATATTATGTAGATTCAGGTGCAATTTTGATTACTTATTATTTCATACAACTTAAAATATAGTAGAAACACCTTTGTTCATACCTAAAATGTATAGTCGACTTGTCAAGCAAACACTGAACTCACTATGCGTTGGTGACACAGTGGTTAGGACTCTCGCCGACCATGCACACCGTCCGAGGTTCGATCCCCTGCCGACGCACACCTGATATCTATGGTCGACCTGCAAAATTTGGGCTAAAGATATCCATGCTGAAAATTCTACACTTGTTTTGATGTGTTTTGTTCTCTGAGCTGGATGGTTAGTTTGCGAAGCTTTCATCGCCCTACTGGGTGACATCTTCAGCGCGTACTTCAATTGAAGTACGCGCTGAAGATGTCACCCAGTAGGGCGATGAAAGCTTCGCAAACTAACCATCCAGCTCAGAGAACAAAACCACATCAAAATTATCCACCTGAGCTACAAATCTTTTCTATCATTCTACACTTGTACCAAAAATACAGTGTGGAATCAAGCTGTAATCAAAAGTAAAATAAAATAAATAAAAAATGGATTTCCTTGTCTGCTACCTGAAAGAAGTGTAGAAATGAGTAGGGAGGATGTCATCTGATTGAGTGATATCGTCCGTTATCTAGAACTATCGATAGTCATATTAGTGTTTGTTAGTTTTAATATTTGACTGAATAACACTTATGCTTGTCACACATCCATCAATCGTTTCTGAGTTGTCTGGTTTACCTAGTTACTAATAGTATTTCATAGGGAGATTTCTTACTTGAGTTCGTATTATATCTCAAAGAATTATAGCTCTCATCCTATGTTTTTTAAGCTCCAGCAAGAAGTAATAATTATTGTGCAGTAGTTTGAATGCAGATTTAGTTCTTATCAATGCCAAAATCTTAACGTTGATGGAAACTGTACTTGAACTTCAGTCTCAGTTTATCAGAGGACAACTTTCAGCTGATTCATCGAGCACCAATTTTCAATCGGTTTAGCTTATCATGGTTTTGGAAATGTGTATTACACTTCATTTTCATCTTTTAATTTGCCTTTACTCACACAATAAGTGATATCTATAATCTGAGCTCTGAATCGTAAAAGATGCCAAAAATCAAAGATCAAAATTATCATAAAAACCACGTATTATTTTTTTATGTACATTTTCCTACCTATTCACAGTTGCTTGTAATTTGAGCAGATTTTGGGTAACGTTTCTTAACACTCGGGGCTGCATGAAAGGGTTTTGAGTCCGTTCGGGGCCATGATTTCCTTCAGTGTTTTACATAAATATTTGGAGGTCGTAAGTACTAACTATGGCTCCTAGTTTCGTCTCTTTCATACTACACTGTGTAATGTGGGCATTGAGTTGTTGCGTCACGGTATACGCGTGAAAAAATGCCATTTAGTTTAACTAATAAAGTCGAAAAGACTTAAAAGCATAATATCATGTCGTATCTATTTGTGGTGTGGAGATGTTTGTTGTGGTAATATGAATTTTCACTCAGCAATATCCGGTCCCAAGTTAATAATGCCTATGTGTTCCTCATATCAATGAAGATTTGCTTCCTGCAGTATTTAGTTTAGTACCTGAGAATGCAATTTTTGTGGTAGGTATTACTAGCTAATGAGACTTGTCTACTAATACTTTAATAATTTATAAACTTATTTCCCTATCTTTAAGTTAATCAAGGGGAATGTATTGGTTTTTTCTGTAGCGCATTCAAGAAGAAATCTCAATTCTTCAGAAGGAAGCAAGTGTGCCTTTACTTGAAGTATTACCCGCCGGTTACATGAATTTTCTCGAAAGCTCTGATACCCACAAGTGCCCAGCTGAATGTGCAACTCTCTCTCCTTCGCAAAAGGGTTATCACCATTTGGATGAATCACCTCAAGTTGATAATAAGATGGATAGCGGTGGCGGTGATCCTGATTCAGCGAGCTCTGTGTCTGAAGCCTCATCTTTAATATCTGGTGAAAACAATGAGAGTGATCAACTGTTACAGTCTGAGGATGCATGTAGCACAAATAGCCCTATGGTTTACGCACCCTGGTGTTCTTCTACACTTCATTCTGAACCCAGACATATAACAGATTTGCACACAGCTGCTGTTGAATTACTCTCATTAAAACTAACCTCTACGGCAAATAATGATTTAATGAAATATATTTCTGGAACATGTACTGTAGCTCATGGTCCGACTCTTCGAATTCGTTCTCTTCCAACTCCAAATTTTGGTAAGTTTAGCTATATTGTTATAAAATATTCGTTTTATTTGCGTGACTGTGCCAGAAATCACTGCCTATCGTGTACCAGGATGCTGACATGACGTGAGTCCTAATTAGGGCAACCACCTACAATAAAACTATGGTTAACGATCATATATATATATATGTATATATATCTATATATACTTTTGCACATTATGGTGTTGAAGAAAATCATGTTAAATACCTTTCATCCACTTCTTAGTTTCCTATATAAAACATAAAATTGCTTCAAAACTTATATTCTGGATGCCATAATGCAATGTATATCCACCTATAGCTCATCGGAAAGTTCATAAGGAATTCCTTGTAAAACATCATTAGAGTAAAACAAATTTAATTAAAACCTATTTACGAGTACCACTGTGGTAGTCAAATTTATTGTCTAAATACTGATGGTACTACAAAGCAGCCTAGAGTGAAATAGGTGCCCCATAAGTTCTGACTGAAAGCTCATACCAATGATATATGTCGAATACTTAATTACTACGACAAAATCTAGTGCTGTTATAAACGGTCAAGTAGTTTATTTCAGCTAGTTAATATGCGTCCCATTTACTGTTCTTGAACAGTCATTTCCTTGTTATCATCGACATTTTTATTAAAATGGATAAATTTCGAATGTCGAATGAATTACACACATTTTCACTGTACCATATTCATGTTACTGTGTTTTATTTAGGTAGTGTTGAAACTGTTGAACACCAGACTTTTATTCTAATATTACTCGTGAAAATTCTTTGTCATCTGATTATACTTTTGTTCAAGTTATTGTGTATATGGACTGACTGTCTGTCTGTTTTCGACATAGAACTTTGCACAGATGTGCAGCATTTCAAGTCGCCACCCTCCATGGAGCGCACAGTTCAAGAGAAGAGAGTAAAGAGAGATAACAAACAGAAATGTGAGGCAAAAGGAATAGTAATCTGGAAGAACAATAGAATTTTATTGGATATGTTATATCACAAAAAGTGGATGCATCTGCGCCAGCCATTGAGAACGACTTTGAGCGATATCATCAATTTTCTCCAGCCATTGGTGTTTGGCGTCCCGAGGACCCCAACCAGGAAGTCTACATCTTCCTACGTGGCTTAAGCTAACTGTTGTGGATTCCATTGACTGATGAAGCCATACTTTGTTTTGGCCACCACTAGCTGTTTTCCAACCTGACCCTATGTCAGGTAACATCATCCGTTGTCGAGGAAGGCGATGGCTAGGCATACGTAACACATGTCCTAACCATCTCAGTCGATGTAACTTCATAGCCTCGTTAATTAATTTCTGCTCTTTACCTAGCATTCGACCTCGGCATAACCTCAATATTGCTCACCCTATTATACCACTTCACATGGGAGATAAAACGCAAGCACCTATGATCAAAGACAGCTTTCCAGTCTTTTCTTGTCCTCCATTCTCAATGGCCATGTCTCGCTCACAGCCATAAAGGAGAACGGAGCGGACTGTTGAACAGTACACACTCCCTTTGTTCGACGGCCGAATATCACATCTACTAAGCCAGAGATAGCGTAAACAGGCATATGCGAAACAAGCCTTCTGTATCCTTGCTGAGATTTCGTCACCGATCAACCAGCTGGCGTTGGCTGATGCAACCTCCCAAATAAGTGAAGTGGTCAGCGTGCTCTACCACTTCACTGCCTATTTTTAAGCTAGGAGTCAATGTAGTCCGGTCCTGTAGGATCATCTTACACTTGGTGGGAGCGAATCGCATGCTAAATATTCGAGAATTACTGCTCAAGGTGTTCAGAAGACTGCATTTTGTCAGCGTCTTCACCTAGAAGCACTATATCATCTGCCCACACCGTGAAAGTTGATTTATTCTTGGGGTACTTGAAACAGAGAGAATTCGTGTTGCGTGACCACAAAGCCGAGGGAACCGGTCAGCCACTGCCTGTATGAATTGGCTTTTTGGTTCGGTTCCGTATCAGTAACTTACCGCTGGCTACGGACCATCGTAGGGTAAGTCGGGATGTACAGTTTTTGGGGTTGACCTTTTCTAATCCACTCTTTCCAGAGTGGAGAGAGCGTAGTTGGTATGCCGGTTATCTGAGGAAAACACCTTATTGCTGTTACATCCATATTCCGCAGCAGTAGTACAACTTTGCCCACAGACCTCCAACGTAGTGTAAAAATATGAGGAATCAGCTTAGAATAACTTTAAGCGTTTTTAAGTTTGCTGATTATTCGTTTGTTAAGCACTTCTGCACAGTCAAACTGCTTTGTTCGTGTTCGTTGTTTAATCACCCCTTTGATTGATATTTTTATCGCTTATAGCTTGTATTATCACTTTATCATGTTATGAGGAATATTTAATCATTTTTTACCAAATTTTTTATCGATGATAATCCTAATATCTGCTTATAGTTTTTTTGACATCTATATTACCTTGGATATGATTATTTCTTCTTTCAGGTGCAGCCGTAACATGGATGCGACATGCGTTTGCTCGATCTGTCCCAGTTCTTCTATTGACAAACAGTCATCTATCAGGTGATGCTGAGTTAGCTGTTGCTGCGCATCTTGGGCAACTTGCAGTTGCCGACCCTCGGTATTATATGTCATCAGGATATCCATCCAGTGAATTTGCTAATGATACAATCACAGGGGAATGGGGTCCACATTTAATTGTCACTCCCAGCTTGTGTCTTTCCGCTTGGCGTAGACGTCTGCAAATTTGGTGCCCTGGTCTTCGTGTGACGTGTTTAGGTCTTGCTCACAGAACAGACCGATCTGGGACTGGACATCGTCTTCGTGATAGCGTAGCCCGTGGTGCTGTAAACATCTGTTTAGTTAGTTATTCCGCTTTACGTTCAAGACCTAGCCGTTTCACAAGGATCCAGTGGAGTTCAGTTGTATTTGACCAGGTAAAATGTGTTACTTTATAAATTTCATCCCATTACGTCTGAGGACAATAACTGAAGAATATTTGTCGTTTGTGGGTTACCTGATTCATCCTATTCAGTTATTGAAATATTAATTTTCAAATCATATAGTAGAGAAAATGACGTATCTTGAGTCGAAAAGACACGTCAACATTACTCTTTTAGCTTTTAAGGACGTTTTTAGTAAAAGAAAGAAGCCACAGAACCTAAAGGAGTTCAGTTAATAAAGTGGATATCTTAGGCGAAGTGCAATAATGAAATTGCTATCGTGACTGCCGATACTCTACTCTAATGTATTCAGTTTTGATTCGATTTTTATTAAAAGTTGTTAATTTTCAACGATTCGAAACTGAGAAACCTGGGATGTTTCCCGCCTCCTATATTTGACCCTTTAAACAGTTGAAAATGTAATTCTTTGATCAATGCTTAACAGTTGTTCATTGTTCTGTCATCAACGGCGTTTCTTCAAGAAGTGATAGGTTGTTGTTAAAATTGAAAAAGGGATACACATTTCTCGTTGTTGAGAACTTATCAGTCAGATGTGTTCTGCATCCCATTTAGTGATAGTGTCTCCGTTATCACCCTAGCCCTGCACATATCTCCTAAACGGAGTTGTGGTTCATCGGTCTAGGCACTCGACTTCCAACCAGTGGATTACGGGTTCAGACGCCGCGCCACCTTCCGGGGTTTGGGCAACCAGTTAGATGCTTCTCATACAATAGGTGTAGTACATTTCCGAAGGCAGTGTGATTGCAAGGGGTTGTTGGGTAACATTTAACTTTTTCTTCACATATCTCTTAAACACAAGGGAGTTATCCACCAGACTTCAAAGACCGTTAGTTAACTGTCCAAACCAAAGTTGCAAACGTGTAATATTCTATTTTATTTGATGTCAGAAAAACAATATGCAGCGCCTGAATACTCAATAAACCTGATTTAAAAACAATCCATTGTGTATGTTAGTAAATACTTACAAATTTTTTGTGCTGCTTCCGAACATAACGTTTGAATATCAATAGTGAGTAGGTACCACTGTTCAAACTACTAGGTGGTTACAAAAGAAAACAGTTCTACGCGAAAGAAATTCTGCTATTTGTTTAAATTACAAATTTGACTTGTGTCAAGGGTGCATTATATATACATGAATAAATACAAGCCTAGACTACTGACAGCCAGTGGAAAATCAGCATTTAGAAATAAAGCATGTTATATCGACATTAGTGTAAATATTCTGCGAAAATGGTAAATTCAAATGTAATTCAAATGGTAAATGGGGGTGATATAGATGATGTAAAATGTTTTCATACAATCTTAAGTGTTAAGATGTAATGTCATGTTAGTAGTGTGAACCAACCCTTTCTATACAGATATTCACATGTTGAATTTAAAGCCAGACTGTTGCTACCATCATATGCTCTAATGAATGATGGCATCACATGCTGTTTTTAAAGTAGCCAAGTGGTTCACATTCTTTTTAACTGCCATATAAAGTATTTTTTGGTTGAAGTCATTTATAAGTAATTGAAGCCCTAAATACACCACCCTATGTACTACTGTTGATTGATATGAATGGCTGATTGCCGTTCACTGTTCATTCACAGTAGTGCTTGCTAACCAGACCGAAGTTATCTAGACACCCGGACACACAGACGTTTTTCTCGTTTGGGACTTAGCTCATCATCAGCGTACCCGGTCTGACTCAGCTGAGGCATCCAGATTAGGTCAAAACGCCCCGAATTCTGGCTATCTGCTTGAATGAACCAGTAATAAATTAGATCAAATTTACAAATTACTGATTTAATTTGAGTCTCACCTGTTTCATTTTGTCGAAACAGTTATTTGTATTTTTTTTTGAAATATTACTTTCACACTGATTTTTTTTCCTCTTAAGATGCAACATATTATTCTGCAGTCTTTCAAAAGCTCTGGTATAATCTGTACAGAAACACCAAATCGTCAACGAACTATCAAAAAGTTACATTCACAAGATTTTACTCAAGACGTAACAAGTGACTGTGAAGCTATCAGCTGTGATGACAATGTGACAGATAGTTTGAATACAAAGCAGTTTAGTCATTGGTCAATTCCTAAAACTTCGGAGTCAATAATTCGTCGAAAATTGGAGTGGTTTGATTTAATATTGAATAAGTTAGGCCGAAATGGTCATCGTTTGTTGATTAGTTCATCAGCTGATCTGATTTATCATAAACACAGTCCATATTTATTGGATTTAAGTAAACTGCTTCTGTTAACGAATTTACCAGATGAAGAGAATTACAGGTCTTGGTTGAATGATTTTTTTGAAGCTGTGAACCTTTCAGCAAGTCATCGTCGTCCGTGTAGCACGAGTTTGTTGTCAAAGCCATCAAAGAAACAACTTTTCAAGGTAATTTACTTACTTTTATGTTGCATAAGTAGCATGATGTCGTCTACCAAAAAAAATACTGGTTAACTAAAGATTGAGCTGTGAAGTAGACCAAGTTTATCACTTTGACCGAATCCCCTAAGCTAACAATTATCTAGACAGAGAATTAATTATCATGCAGAATGTATTTAACCGTCATATAAAGTTGTAATATGAATAACTATGAACTGTTCATCGAATATAGGAACCACGTCCTTCAGACATAGTCATTATTATCATGTGTAACCCTTGATCCCATGTGTTAACCGACAGAATATTTTTCCTAATTTATGCTAATGTATACAGCACATGGTAGCCTCAGTTACTTATTGTTGACTTACAGTGTTTAACAATACAAGTTTCAGTACACTTAACACGTATGTGGCTTTTATTCTCCTCACTTTATACTTTATGAGAAACAATCATTGTTAAGCCAGAAAATATGGTTTCGAATATTTGTGAAGGTGCATCCTGTGGGAGTTAATACTGGGTCTGTCACTACTTTGGTTGATGTTGAGTAACGTATATATCAGTCGCCGACCGCATTACATAACTTCAACACGAGGTGATTAGGTTGTGTTATGCATTTGTATGTGTTTATACCAAATGCCAGAAGAGCACAGTCCCACCGAAAGATAAAAAAGTTAATTAATTTGGGATTTGAGCATTGAAAAAAATATATTCTATTTGATTGGTAGTCAGTTTGATTCTGTTCACACGACAGCAGTGGATTTAGCATGATAAATCTTATCAGTTTGTTATTTGTTTTTAATTCAGTTTTGATTTCTCCCTTGATTGATTGGGCTAGAATGTTTGACTTCTGTTGACATGTTAGCTCCTAGTACAGACCCATTGAAGAATGCAGGTGCATCCATCTGGCGAGTCCCAAATAAGACAAAATCCTCTTCTGAGATTCTGCTGCCTAGTTATCATTCACCAAATGATTTTAACTTATCAGTTTATGTGAAAAGGTGAACAAATGTTGAAAGTGTGCATCCTTTAATTAATTTTTCTTTACTCAAACAAGTTGAACTGAATTTATTATTTTACTTGAGAGAGGAGTGTACACAGAAACAAAGGGATGTCAAGGTTTTTCGTCTGCTGAAAATAGTGATAATATGTTTTTCATCTGCAAATGATCACATATCAAAAGTTATTTGTTTTACTTACATAAGACAGCCTAAATTAGGTGAAAAGTTATTATCAATTTACTTCTATTATTCTATTTGATTAGTTCCTAGATCCATTTGTTATACGTTTTGATGATGAAGAGGAATGGGATTCATTTATCAATGAAGAGGTTATTGAATGTCGTATGTCTACCATACAACAAAAGCTTCATGATGCTGCATTAAGCACTAAAGCGTAAGTTGCTTATTTTTTCTTCATTACTTTGCGTTTCGATAGGAATGCATACGGGTTCAAGTTTTTGAAGTTTCAGTAATGGTGGCGTAGTTTTTACTGGGTACTATTGCTAGTTTCCCTCTCAACCTCCCCTCTTCACCGGGCTTACTTACTGTCACCTAAGCGCAATTTAGGAGTGAGTAGGCCAGGACCATGTGACGCGTGGTTGGCGAGCATATTCTATCATCGGACTACTGACTCAAAAATCATTGATTACAATCTTGCAGTTATGTTTTTATTCATTTTTAGTTTTGGTTCCTGTCATTCCTAATTTAAATTATTCTGCTAGTTAAATTTTTAGGGATGTGATGTGTTGCTAACTTTGTAGCAGCCTTCATTTTTGTATATATATATATATATATATATATATATATTGAAAATATTAGATTTTCCGAATTTCCCACACGCATATGAATGAAATATATAAAATTATTCGCATTGTAGTATTGATTAAATATATTTCAGTAAACTCGTAATAAATATCAAATATCTGTCGATTAAGCAGGAAATTTGTTGAATCTGTTTGTTAACTAGATGATCTGTTGTTTATTCTATAAAGAAATAAAGCAAATCACTGGTGTTTTAACTTTAAAGCTTTATCTGTTTAAAATTCACAACCACGTGAGGTTATTTGACTTTTTTTTCACATCAGTTAGCAGGAATAGATTTTTTATGCACCTATGTACTTTTGCGAAGGTTGGTGAAAGTACTCCCTTGCCAAGGCTTAAGCAGACCTAGCGAGACTTGAAACCGTGATCCACTGGTCGAAGTCTAATGCTTGAGCCTGTGAGACCACTTCCTGAGGTGATGCTGAATGCTTACTTTGGTTTACTGTCTTTGTTTTGCATTTCTTTTCACTTTCTTCTCTGACTGTGTGTTCCACATGGAGTCTGGCGACTTGAATTGCTGCACATCAGTGCAAAGTTCTATGTTGAAAACGGACAGACAGACAGACAGAGGCTTACTTGGATTCAGTTAAGATATATCGTTTATTTTTAGACTGTTAATTTACTATTACTATTTGGATCACCAGTAAGTTGAATTTTTGAACATATAGTTATTGAATTAGGTACTTCTTTCTAAACCACAGATATTGTATCTTTTTAATGTGGTAGTGTTCTGTGAACTGGATGGTCTAATTGTGAAGCTTTCATTGTGAAGTAAGAAACAGTTGTATGATTCACGGAGGATTCAAAAGTCTCACTTCATATTGAAATAAACGCTGAAGATGTTATCTAGAAGTACAATGAGAGCTTCTCAATTCAAATACCTAACTCAGAGAACACACCTACATCACCTGAGTTATAAATGTACATTATCTTTAGATATTGATCTGTCTAGATTCAACATAGAACTTGTCACCGAAGTGCACCAGTTCCAGTTGCCACGTTCCAAACAGCACACAAAGGTAGACAAGAAGATGAGCGAAGAGAATCAATAAAGTTTGACAGGTATAAGAGTGAAACAGAATGGGTAGTGGTGGAGAGGAATATGAAAGATTACAGAGACTGAATACATCTGAGCTGGCCATTGACAACGATTTTGAGCCATGTCACCTATTGTCTCCAGCCATTGATTGATTCCTAGAGTCAGTCCCGAGGGCCCCAACCCAGAAGTCTGCATCTCCCTCCCTACCTGACTCAATTTAACTATCAAGGATTTCATGGATTGATGGGGCCATGTTTTTGTTTGGCCACCACTTACTCTTTTCCAACCTGCACCGATATCAGCTAGTAATGCCCGTCGGGCGGGGGAGGCGATGGTTAGACATGCACAGCACGTGACCTAGCCATCTTAGTCTATGTAACTTTATAGCCTCGTCGATTGATTTTCCTTCTTTGCCCAACACTCTACACCTAACGTCAACATTACTTACCTTATTAAACCACCTAACGTGAGAAAGAGATCACAGACATCTATGATCGATATTGGTATCGTTTATTGGAATGAATTTATTTATAGATGCTTTTTTAAACACAGAAAGTATAACATGAATTATTTATTTTGTTGATTTGTTACTCTTTTATTCGTTTGCCTTTCATTTGGAACACACAGCTTCAAGCTTTGAGCTTCGAATTTACCATAGCAATGGTATTATTTCTCTTTACAGGGTGAGATTGCTAGTCTCATACTCATCCTTAAGTCTTTACCGGGCTTACTGCCGACTAAGCAGGGTTTAAGTATGCGTAGACTGGGGATTGAACCACGGATCGCGCAGGGCATAGTTAGTGATCATTCTACTGCTGAACCACTGGTGAATATTGTTGAGTGAAATTAGGGGAATACAAAAAGAAGTAGGTATATGTTGAGTATTTCCCATAATAACTGATAGTTTGCCTGTCATTACGTTCCACGCACAATGAAGAACAAGGGAGAGCTGTGTTTAATATTGACTCATGATTCAGTATTGCGAAAATTTGGGTTTCGAATGATTCAGGCGTTACGTTTATGTTTTTGAAGAGAGCGGGAGAGAGAATGTTGAAATTCACTAAAATGTGAGGGAACAGTTTCAGTGTTTATATGTTATTAAAAATCCGGTATTTGCCAACTGCATCATTTCTGTTGATGATAATGGAGATTGAACTATTATCATAACACTAGGAGAGTTAAGCATTCAGTAATAAAATTGTTACCTTCTATTATTTCTTTTTGAAATTTAATTAATACATTGTAGTGCAGAAAATGCAATAAAGACGGGGAATCTAATGGATCTTTTACAGACTGTTTCTATTGCTGCTCGTACTTGTAGTCATCCTTGTTTAACAGGAACTCAACCGAAGAACTCACGAATATTTCGACGTACTATAAATAATCTACAAACCAGAAATAATGCTGCATATGGACCATGTGTATTTAATTCTCTTGAGAAAATATGTGATTCAAATGGAAGCTGTTATCCAAATAGTAGCCTTATCTTCAATACTCCAGAATCTGTTTTATTCGGTGTTAAACTACTTCGACAATCTGAATTATCATATACATCTTGTCAGTATTTTAATTTGTTCGAATCACTGAAGTCATCTGTATACGTACGTAATCGAATTGCCAGTCTTACACCTCAGTTTATTGACCTAGTATCTACTCCGAAAAAGCATTTCACGCCACCTAGCGGAAATGTTAGCTTGTCAAATAGTGTATCAGTTCCTACGAACTCTTCACCTGTATCACATATTCCAAACGGTAATTCCAGAGACAGTCATTTCAAATCTGAAAATCACTTAACTAATGGTTTGCCACAATCTGAACAACTCAATTCTGGAAACTGCATTGATCCTGATATCGAGTTTGTAAGTATTCCACAAAGACAGAAGCGCCAAAGAGAAAATAGTATTGATCACAGTGGAGTTAGTAATAAACGACGTCGTATTGAAGATACTGATATTCCTCGACCTTTTCTCGTTCACTCTAATATTCAGTCATCTAGTTATTATCATGCTTACTCGAATCGGTCATCACAGCGTTTGTCGTGCGACTCAAATATATCGTCTGACCAGCTTAGAAATACCAGTAAGTTGTGCAGTATCTACTTCTTTGTTTTATATTTGTGTTTCTTGTATCAGTTAAGTAGAATTGTAGGTAAGGAAACAAGTTATTGAGTAAGGTTGTAGGTCTTTCCAGAGTTAAATGTTTAGGGAGTTGGTATCATGTATCATACCCACTGCTTGTTGAAACAGGTTTATAACAGATGCAGGTTGAAGTCGTCCATACCATACTACATCTGGAATCAATAGCTGGTACCTTAACGTAATGGTTGACTTTACATGTCATGGTATCCCAGTCCACTGTACCTGTCAGTGCAACTGTACCATGCCGGGAAGGTTATTCGGATTGCAGTGAACCTTGTCGTTATAGTGTAGGCTGTATTTGGTTGGCGTGAAGCATTGGCCTCTTGAGGACCATGGTTACACAAAACATATCCTCTTCCCTTTCACATATATTTAGAGGATATCAGTTATTAAAGTGTAGCCAGATTTCATCATGAGCTGACATTAGTTAGAGAACCATTGGAAAACCTGGGAGTACTGGACAGCTGTTTCGTCCTAGTTTGAGACTCTTCATCAGTACGTACCCATCGGGTTCGAACCCAGAACCTGGTTACAAGGCGAGCTGGTAGACCATTAAGTCACTGGGACCCGATCCAATGGCCAGCCGATGAATTCTAACTTCTTCCGGTGGATGTGTAGTGATGAAGAGTCCCAAACTAGGACTAAACAGCTGTCCAGTACTCCAGTGGTTCTCTAACTAATGTCAGCTCATGATGAAATGCGGTAACCAATCAAATTCCTACAAACCAACACTTGAATATTAAAGTGTAGGCTAGTAGCCCACGCATCTGTCTTCACTCCAGCACCGTATGAAGTTGTCATTTATTACTTTCCAAAAATTTCACCACTTGTGATAAATTTACACTACTTCCGGTCGTCTCTTTTGCCACCCACACTAACGATTAAAGTTTATTTAATAACACCTGTTTTGCGTAAACTGCTTATCAGGACTCCCAACATCCGTACTCTGCATCAAGTCAACCAACAGCAAATACTGGTCAAACTTATATTCCGCATCACGGATGTGTGTTGCTTTTGTGAGACACGCATACAAGATCCAAATTTGGTCACGTTCTCCAGATCACTCCATGTTAATACTACATATTTCACATTTTGAATAGGTATCGGTCTAAAAGTCAACTCTTGAAATCCCAGCATCGTGGATGAAACAAGTTTGAATGTGAGAAGCACATGTGTCAATCAGTTACTGTGGAGCATGGGAATGATGGGAAGTTCCAGTTCCTTGATATTTCCACACAACGCCTGGAAGATGGTAGTCTGTTGAGATCAGTTTACCGGAAGCCTACACGGAATGGACAATCTTTACACTTTGATAGTTTCTGTTCGAATAGCTACTAACGAGCACTGATCAAAACTCTGTTCTACAGAGCGACGAGAACATCTAAGAAAAATTATATATATATAAGGGTGTATTTATGCTTATCAAACCACCTCTTTGCTCGATAAGTTGTTATTTGATGTAGAACTGAGCTGATTGAAGCTAAGTGTAGCTATACCTAAACATTGCACTAGTACACAAAATGAGTTTAAGCCACATAGAGAAGTGTAGATTGTCTTACTGTGAGGTACTCAGAATGTCCTTAATGAGTTGTTCAAAATCAATAATACATATTTGAGAGTAACCTTTGTTTTTCAACATTTTTTCGAGAATCATAAATTCCTCCTGCAATTTTTCTTAGATGATGTTCTCGTCGCTCTGTAGAACAGAGTTTTGATCAGTGCTCGTTAGTAGCTATTCGAACAGAAACTATCAAAGTGTAAAGATTGTCCATTCCGTGTAGGCTTCCGGTAAACTGATCTCAGCAGATTACCATCTTCCAGGCGTTGTATGGAAATGTCAAAGAATTGGAACCTTCCATCATTTCTATGTTCCATAGTAAATTCAATATTTGCATGTGCGTCGATGAATCAAACTTGAATCCGAGTAGGTAGGACTCATGGCTTTCACTGTTATACTACAAATGTGTCATCGACATATCGGCGATAAGGAGTTGTTTTGTCGACTACATGCTTCATCGTTTTTTTCTCCTAAAGTTTGATATGAGGATATCTGCTAAAACAGGGCTAATTGGACTATCCATGGCTACACCATCTATTTGACGGTAAAAAAGTGTTGTCAAACTGGAATTGTACATCCATGAGTGCACATTAGCAGTAGGCATTTGAATTCCGACTCTGGGAGTGGGAGAAGATCCGAATGGTGACAAATGATCTCTGTAGTTCCATTGATTGGGATCCTTGTGAAGAAGGTTACCGATGTTTCTCTGTTATATCACTGCTGCATTTATTTCCTCTTCCATCATACATTGTTTTTTGAAGTTTGATGGTGTTGACCCATAACCATTTATGCGAAGTCGTATGTTTTTTGCATAGTTTTGTGTTAACCATTTCATGGATGTTTAAAAGTTATCACAATCAAAGACTGTAAGTCACTCACGATTATGCATATGTATGCTGCTGTGTTTAAATCTGTGGTAAAGCAGCTATTATCACGTTGTTTAGTATTAAGTTTTGATCAGTGTTTCATCTAGTCAGTAGACCAATTGATTCGAAATTACTGTGATGTTGATTTCGGTTAAATATAAATATGAATTTACTGGTACAACAATCGCTTTGGACTGAATAACACACTAATATTGCAATGCAATAGTCATTATGATTGAAAACACGGGTCTAGGGTTGTGAATGGATTTGAAATAATTGGTTTTCGGGCTATTGGCCAAACTCTTCATATTTGTCCATCAATTATTGGTGATTTTATGCAATTGTCATATGAATGCATTAACTACCTGATTGTTAATAAATGTGTAAAGTTATGTTATATGCTTTTTACTATTGATATAAGTCAACATATGTATACTTTTCAGATGTGAGTTCAAATATAGTAAATCATATTTCAAATTCGTCAACGCATAACGTCCTTAGTGATTCAAATGACCGCTCAACTGATATCAGTGTGAATGTGAGTCTATTCTTATTGTGTAATGTACTTGTATTTAGTTTTTATATAAAAAGCAGGGAAATGTTATTATTTGTTCCTCTCGAAAGTACTTGGAACGTTCTTTTAATTTTCTTCTAAGATTTGTTAGCACTGCTCAACACAAACGCGTGGCTACTGTCACTCATTTTATGGGGCATTTTAACTGTAGTATATGGTCACTAGAGTGTTTTGTGATATCAACTTAATACCTGTGTGAAAAAAGGAGATATTCAAGGCGTTTAACGTTTAAATATAAATATTTTCAAGTGTTAGTTTGTGGGGATTCAATTAATTTCAGTTTTGATCAGTAACTGACTTTAGTTAGAGAACTCTTGAAAACCAGAGAGTACTGGGCAGATGTTTCTACTTTCCGTGGGTCTCTTCAGCATACACACATGATCTCATCAATGACAGGACTGGGTAACTTCAGGTTACAAAGTGAGCCTCCTGGTCGTCCAGCCGCTGGGACGAATTCCAACAACCCATTAATTCGAACTTCTGCCGTTTCATATTATGTAACGCGCCGGCCAGCCAGTTTCATCGGTGAGTTTCTGTCCAGTGTTCCCCAGTTCTCAATGGTTTACTAACTAAACTGAGTTTGTAATCAAACTTGAAAAGTCATTACAGTTTTCTTATAATTAGTGGTAAATGAGTTTAACGATATTGGTAGCTTGTTTTCTTAGCTATTTTGTTGATAATAAATTTCATACAGTCTTTCCACATGCCTGTCATCCGTTTTTGAGAAGTGGTTGAAATATTTAAATGGCTAACGTATAACCACCAAACCAAAAGTGGTCTTTTTATGTGTCATCAGTCGTGAATACATGTATTCTATTCATTTCGAGGAATAGTCTAGTAGCCAGTTTGCAGCATATTCGCCCGGAGATTGTATCGCAGGATATTTCACTACAGTTATTCAATCCCATGATAAATTATAATTCGTAATATTATTATTATTTTATTCCTTTGAGTTCTCACTGGAATGCAGGTCCTCAAGCTCTAATCTTTGAGGTTCTAGTAGTGATGAAGTTGCTAGCCTCACGTCCAATGTTTCCTCCCTACTGAGCTGACTATCAGCTAGGCGAGTTTTATGAGTGCATCGGTAATGGAACCCAGGACGACCACGTGAAGTGTCGTTAGCGAGCATCCCACCACTGAACCACCAACGCACAAATGAATCTTCAATTATAAATCTTTCTGTAAAGAACACTTGGTAGTTACTGATTATTGATCATTTCATGTTTTTGGTAATTAATTTTCTTATACCTTTCATATCAATTTAGTATTACCCATTCGAAACAGCTTGCATGCATCTCACTCAGTTTTAATGTACACTTTTTGTTTCTGTACAGTGATTATATGATTTACTATTAGTGGACTATATCATGATTCTTTGAATTCTTTAGGCGAATGAATATCCTTGGCTTAAAGATAACCAGCGTAAGTGTACTCAGTTAACTGGTTTCGCTGATTGGTGTTCCTTGGATACATGTAATATGCTGCGTTTACATTCTACCACTACTGCTATGACAAGTAATATCAATTCTTCGTCAGAGAACTCATCCTTTCAATCGTATAATGTTTTTGCATATGAAAAAGAATCCAGTATATGGAATATTGTTAAGAATAAATTTTCTTTATTCTGGACAAACCCGAGGTAAATGTTTACAGTGCATAATCTTTTTAACTAATTATTTATAAGTCGACAATCCCCCGATGTTGTAACTTAGGCAATTTCATAAGCAGCATTTATTCTTTAGTTCGACTCGTATTTTTTTGTTCTTCCCTTCGTTAATTCTCCTTCAAATAATCATAATATTCAACGATGATGTTCAATTAATTTTCAACAGTTGGTTTGTAGGGATTTGATTTGTTTTCAAGTTTGGCCATGGATTGATATCAGTTAGGGAATCATTGAAAACCAGGGAGTACTGGCACAGCTGTTTCATTCTGGTTTGGGACTCATTGGTAGTACTCACCTACTGGGGTTTGAACCCAGAACCCTCCGGTTATAAAAGAAGCTCGTAGACCACTGAAACCACTAGTATCCGACTCAAGAACCCATGACTTCTACCAGTGTGATTTGGTTTTCAATGTTTCTCTAACTGATATCAGTACGTGGTTAAATTGAAAACAAGTCAAATCCCTATAAACGAACTCTTGGAAATAATCTGATGCTCGCAAGTGACTAGTTGAAGTTGCCTAGAGTTCTAGTGACGAGAAGTCGTGACCAGTGAGTTCCACCCAGTCGGTAGTGAGAAGAGATACTCACCGATACCATTGATTGATGCCAGTCGCGCTAAAATTGCGAATCAGTAGAAGTTAGAATTCATGGGTTGGTCATTGAATCGAGTCCCAGTGGCTGGATAGACTACGAGCTTGCTTTGTAACCGAAAGGCCTCGTGTGTTCGAGCCGTTGTTCTGGGTGCTTATTGCGGATAAGTCCACACAATCTAGGATGTTCACTTGGTGTGTACATTCTCAAACTCCTTTCCTTCAAGTCAGTTGATGAGATTTGATTACTGTAACCAGAATTAAATCATAGCGATATATTTTCTTCAACTACACTAATTATGAACACTTGATCTGTCTTCTGTTGAATTATTTTAATCACTGAAACTCACTTGACAAAATCTACTGGCAAGTTTAAGAAGTGTATTAGTTAATGTCGTTTGTGATGTTATGTACTACCACTGATTGGTGTTAGTATTTGGAAACCGTTAACATCGACCAGTAGTAGTGCTTGTTAGCTAGATCGTAATGATCTCACCACCGAACGGCTGTTTTGGTCGATTAGAAAAAAGCTTATTAGGTGGTTACCCTATTTGAATTAGGTAAGAGAGCTGAATCAGTTCAAAACACGCCAAATTCAGGCTAGCCGCTTGGGCGAACTCGCAATTCACAAACTACACAGTCCAAAGTGAAAATTCGGCGAAAACACCACCTCGAGCTGTACAATTTACGAATCTTGAATTTGATTTGATATCTCATAATTCATGTTTATTAAACAAGAAACCCAGTATATAAATACATTAAAGATCTTTGCAGATGGGTCATATATATATATATATATATATCTATATGGATGTGGTGCAGACAATTCATGTTTCCATGCATACTTTTGTTTTCATTTGAGGAAGACTCATCATCTGATTGGTTTCTCGAAGTCTTTCGCCCGTCCTCAAATTGAAGTTTTTCAGATTCCTGCTAAAGATAAGTGTGTATTCATCTCTCTGCCTTGAAATTTTAGCAGTAATGAGGTTGTTGTTTTTCGGAGTTTGGCTGCTATAGCCACTCTCAAACTTTCCTCTTTTCCGGATATAGGACGAACTAGTAAACTAGGCAACGTCCAAAGAGATAAAAATAATAATAATTATTAATGCTAGTTGTAATTAAATAACTGACTGTAGATCAACTCTTCTTTTTTCGCGTTTAGTATTTTATGCACACGGCCTCGTGTTATTGCAATGCCTGCACGATTGACTTCACGTATTGGACCTGTTGATCGTGAATTATTCAACAAGAACAAATCTTCATTATCATTAATTGATATACATTGTCCTCATGTATCTTGGCCTCTGTGGATGCATCATTCTACCGTGTTAAAGATCAGTCAGCTTCTCTACCCATTAACAGAACAAGCGCGTTTATTATCAATTTCATCTGTTCCGAATATTGGATTTCAGCCGTCATTATCATCTGTCATTCTTACTAAGAGTGGTCGTGATAATCGTTTATCGCCACTTTGTCGATTATTTTCAGAATCTGGTAGGTTGATTCACTTATTGTACTGTGGCATTTGCAAGGGAATGTTTTTGAATAATGTTAATATTATTATTACTATCACTGTTAGTGTTTTTTGTTTGTAATACGAAGCTTTCAATTAAAAAACCCAAATATATTCCCATATTTGTAAAAGTGATTTATCATATAAACAGCCCTCTCTTGGTAGTGTGGAGCTGTGACTCACTGGTCTAGGCGCTTGACTTGCAATCAGTGTGGGTCGTGGGTTCGAAACCAATTCTGCTCACTGAAGTTTGAACTAGACTTCACACAATAAGTGTGTGACTCACATTCCCAACTGTATGGAATTGCAAGTGGATGTTAAACCATACTGCATAAAGTAAGTCTTTGTACATTTATTCCCCTTAATGAATTTGAACAAAGCAAGAACTACAGTTTTAGCAGAATAAAATGGTACCATCACTGCTTATTTCGTTGCCTTCTCGTCAGCTGCTTACATGGCAAAGACATTATTAAATATATCTACAACAACAATTTTAACATACTTGCACAGAGTTAAGTTTAAACAATAATCAGTCGATCAATATACTCATACACTAAAAATATATACATATATAAATATGCAATATTAACCACTATTCCGAACAATGATAATCAAACACAATGGAAACTTTTAGCATTTCACATTCGGATGAAAGAGAGGTGAAATTATCCAGTTACCAGGGCAAAGAAAGGCTGATAACCGCTTCTTTCTGGACGCATAAATCAGGTTTCAGGCGCTTGATGGAAATGGCTTCAGCAAACTTAAGGAGAATTGAGCTATTTTGCTTATTGATAATTTTGAACGACTTTTCAACGTCCACCTCATGACCCGTGTCGAGAAGATGCCTGGCGATGGCACTGTTTAAAGCATTTGTTCCCTTTAGACGTAAGCTTTTTGGTACATGTTCAGAAAATCGTAGATATGCCCTTCTTTCTGTCCTTCCAATGTTTTTGTAGATATATTTAATATTGTCTCTGCCGTGTAAGCAGCTGACGAGAAGGCAAAGAAATAAAAGATGGTACCATTTTATTCTGCTAAAACTGTAGTTCTTGCTTTGTTCAAATTCATTAAGGGGAATAAATGTATGAAATAAAAGATTCATTTACTTAGTTCGTATTTTGAGATGTTAAATTTAATAAAGATTTAATGAATTCCCAGATAGAAGTTAGCCATGATTCAAAACTGTTTGAAGAACTACTAAAGAATCCAGCAGCTCTAGGTTTGTGTTGTTTTTCCCCGTCAGTGAGTTCACACGACTAAACATCATCAGAGAGTGACTAGTTTCGACATGAATTTCTAATGTTTTAATAAAAATTCATCCATTAATTTGGATATGAAAATATGATCTTGGCTTCTTTGCTATGGACTGGACTGGTTTCAACATAGAACTTTGCACCAATGTGCAGTAGTTCGAGTCGCCACACTTTATGTAGCACACAAAGTCAGTGAAGAAAGTAAAAAAAATGCGAAATAGAAACAGTAAGCAGAGATATGGGGCAAAAATAATAATAATATCGAAGAACAACATAGTTTTATTGGGTATTATAAGTCACAAGGAGTGGATGCATCTGCGCCAGCCATTAAGAACGATTTTGAGCCATATCAGAAATTGTTTCCAGCCTTCATTGGTTTTTACCGTCCGAGGACCCCAACCAGGAAGTCTACACCTCCCTAGATGACTGGCCTAAACTAACTGTTGTGCATTTCATTAATTGATGAAGCCATGTTTTGGTTATCTGTTGTTTAAGGGAGGCGATGGATAGACATACGTAACACATGGCCTAACCATCTCAGTCGATGTAACTTCAAAGCCCCTCCTTACCTAGCACCCAACCTAGGCCTAACCTCAATATTGCTCGCCCTATTATACCACTTCACATGGGAGATAGAACGTAGTCACCTATGATCAGAGACAGCTTTCCAGTCTTTTTGTGTCCCGTACTCTCAGTGGTCATGTCTCGCTCCTCACAGCCATGAAGGAGGACGGAGCGGACTGTTGAGCAGTACACACTTCCTTTGTTTGACGGCCGGATATCACATCTACTAAGCCAGAGATAGCGTAAACAAGCATATTCGAAACGAGCCTTCCGTATCTGTGCAATAGTAGTATTTGGACACACACCTATCTTGTATACTGCTTCGGGTGGTTTTATCACAGTAGACAAGTTCCCAACCCTACCTTTGAATAGTTGGTTATGGCTCATTTGGCGTAAACAGCACTTAACTTTCAACTAATGGTTTCCGGTCTCATGTCCTTGCTCGCCTACCTCAGCCTGACCAACAGGCGTAGTATCATCAGCCTCTACACAATATATGTAACTCATCTGGTTCACAAAAGCACTGTTCCGGATAACTAAGTACTCATCTACATGTACTACGTACTTGCAAATTGCTGCCCTTTCTCGAAAATCTTTGACGTATTACAAAATTGCATACTGAATCAACAGAATCTCTAATTTCAAAATTGAGAACCAAAGCCACTCTATCCTTCGATGGTGTCGTCAACAGTTTGAATATAGTATGCCGGATCAAATTTATCGATTTCATTCAAGAGCTTCAACAAAAAACAAACATGTGCGAATTTTTACAAAAATCTGTCGAAATCCCTGATAAAGCAGAAGCTGTATGAAGTCTTCCCAGAAAATCCTGAGGAGTTTATCTGTAATCTTTCGGGTCAGAAATTAAATCGTATTGAAATGGAAGCATTTTCCCTTGGATTTAACTTTTATATCCCGAGTAACTTTGTCAAAAGAACCGATGTCGCAGCTCAATTCGATAACTCATTCTATCAGCCGAGTTGATTAGGACAAGAGGAGTCGGTTCACATCTAAACTGGCCTACATTGCAAATCAGTACCTCATTTCACTAACTTCATATTCAAAATATTTTCTGAGGAGCATCAAAAGCTCTCAGAAATAATGATAAAGTCGTCATATTGCTACTTGAAAAAGAGTCATGGGCGGTGCTGATGGACAAAGATGACAACACTGCAAAGATAAAAACTGTGTTTAGAATTGATGATTGCCAGAAAGAAAAGACAGATGAAACTGAAAAAAAAACGCATCACAAGCCTACTGAGAAATCTTCTACAGAAGAAATTGATTGACAACAGTGCTTACAATAATTTAAAATCCCGAGAGCCTAATTTGCTTCACATGTATAGCCTAACAAACTCACACAAAAAACAAGTCCCGCTGAAACCTATACTTTCGATGGTCATAAACTTAATAATAATTTATTTAAGCTGTAAATAGCTGACGAGAAGCCAGCGAAATTTTTATTTATTTAAACGCATAAAAACTTGGTACAATATGGCACCAAGAAGAATGCGCCACACAATAATAATAAAACAACAAAGATCAAAAGAAAAAAATAAAAGAAAGAAGAGAATATATATATATATATATAAGTAGAGAACGGATAAAGAACTTCATCCGGAAGGAAAACAGTCATACTTAACAAGTTCAAACAGTATTCGTTAACCATCATCGGGAAGGGAAGAAAGAAGGAAATTGCAACACGTCTAATAGCACGCGATAAGTTTCATTGATTGTTTGTTGCTTTATTCAATTCATTGTGTCAGGGCTGAGATACTGCCCGGGCGCCCAGACCGAAGCAGGTGGTTTTTATTAAGGGACCACCCCCGAGCCTTTGACTTGGAGTCTAATCCGCAAGGCAGCGGAGCAGCGTCAGGATCTGCGTTCACATGGTTTCCGGTGACCCAATGGGTTCATACGCCATTTGATCCGATTGGATACTGGAGTCCATGTACCCTATGGTAACTGCTTTTAGTTTAACCGCTAGCTAACTAGCTAAACACATATCTGTGTTCGACAGCTGTGCTCACCCTGAAGAAGCTTGGAAAAATATCCAGGCAGCCATAGATACAGCTGTAAAAGCTGTGAATAAGGTAAACCCAAAGGTGAGTAAAAACCACTGGATCTCCACCGCCTCATCCGAACTGATAGATGCTAGAAGACTTATTCCGGCGAGCTCCGAATTCAATGAGGAGCGAAAGCTGCACAAGAGGAAACTTACGAAAAGTCTCCGCAAGGACCGTGAACAGTGGTGGGCGACAAAAGCCAAAGAGATGGAGAAAGCTTTGAGGATAGGCAACACCAGGCAACTCTTTGGACTCATCAGGGAAACGGGTGGGAGAAGACAAATCATTAGTGAGACAATCTCGGAAAAAAATGGCACTATAATTAGCTCCAGGATAGACGACTGGATCGTTGGAAAGAGCATTATGAGGAGCAGTTTAATTTGCCCACAGCCACGCTCAACCTTCCGAGCATCCAACACCTCCCTGAATGGGATATAGATACAGGTCCTCCGTCACTAACTGAGGTTACTAAAGCTGTCACCAATCTGAAACTAGGCAAAGCAGCGGGACCTGATGGAATGACGCCAGAGGTATTTAAGTACGGTGGAGACAGCTTACTGTCCGGATTAACTGAGGTACTAGGCAGCGTCTGGGAATCAGAAGAAGTCCCATCGGGTTGGTGTAAGTCACTGATTATCCCCATATACAAGAAGGGAGACAAGTCTTCCTGTGATAATCACAGAGGGATTAGCTTGACTAATATAGTATCTAAAGTCTTAGGCTCAATAATCATGCGTAGACTGAGTGGTGCTCGGGAAGCACAAACACGAGAGAGCCAGGCAGGCTTTAGACCAGGAAGAGGGTGTATTGATCATATCTTCACCCTCCGACAGATTCTAGAACATAGGCATTCCTACCGGCGTCCAACAGTCATTATATTTCTTGACCTAAAGGCAGCATTCGACTCTGTCGATCGGGAAGTTCTCTGGAGATGCTTGGCTGTAAAGGGAATTCCAAGAAAATATATTGCACTGATTAAGGCACTCTACTCGTACTCATACAGCCAGGTGAGGGCTTACGGCGAGCTGTCATCTGAACTGATGACGACCAGTGGTGTCCGTCAAGGATGCCCATTATCTCCTTTTCTATTCAACTTCATCATAGATGTGTTAATGGACTTAACCCTAGGTGACTTCAGCGACTCAGGGATTGACTTGCTACCGGGGATAATCTCGTTGACTTGGAATATGCAGACGATATAGTCCTTCTAGGCGAAGACGCTGACGAAATGCAGAGTCTTCTAAACACCTTGAGCCGCAATCTACGAATGTTTGGCATGCGATTCGCTCCCGCCAAATGCAAGATGATGTTACAGGACTGGACTACATCGACGCCTAGTTTAAAAATAGGAAGTGAAGTGGTAGAGCACGTTGACCGCTTCACTTATTTGGGAAGTACCATCAGCCCCAACGGGCTGATCTCTGACGAAATCTCAGCACGAATACAAGGGGCTCGTTTCGCATTTGTTAGTTTACGCCGACTCTGGCGTAGACGAGATGTTCGACTATCGACCAAAGGGCGGGTGTACTGCTCATCAGTCCGCTCCGTCCTCCTTTATGGTTGTGAGACCTGGCCACTGAGAGTGGAAGACATGAAAAGACTAGCTGTCTTTGATCATAGGTGCCTGCGTTCTATTTCCCGTGTAAAGTGGCATAATAAGGTGAGCAACATGGAGGTTAGGCGTAGAGTTCTAGGTAAACAGGGGAAATCAATCGACGAAGTCGTGAAGCTACAAAGACTGAGATGGTTAGGACATGTGTTACGTATGCCAAGCCATCGCCTCCCTCGACGAGCAATGTTAGCGGATATAGGGTCAGGCTGGAAAAAAGCTAGCGGCGGTCAAACAAAAACTTGGCATCAGTCAATGAAATCCACAACAGTTGGTCTAAGCCACGTAGGAAGGTGTAGACTTCCAGGCTGGGGTCCTCGGGACGGTAAAAATCTATGGTTGGAAACAATTGGTGACATGGCTCAAAATCGTTCTCAGTGGCGCAGATGCATCCACTCCCTGTGACTTATGATCTCCAATGAAACTGTTTTGTATTTCTTTATTACTCCTTTGTCTCACACCTCTGCTCACTGTTTCTATTATGCTTTTCTTGTACTTTCTTCTCTTGCTTCGCGTGCTACACGGAATGTGGCGACTTGAACTTCCGCACATTTGTGCAAAGTTCTATGTCGAAAACAGACAGACAGACAGACAACCGCTATCCAAACAACCTTCCTGACATGGTAGGACCTGCAGGGACAGAGTCCCAGTCAGTTTAGCATGTTGGGTCATTACGGTATTCAAGCGCGACCACCACGGCAAGGTATCAGTTATCGGCCGAGCAACGAAATAAACGATGGTACCATATTATTCTGCACAAACTGTTATCCTTGCTTAATTCAAACTGTATGTGTCACATTATAACTGTTGTTGTGTAGTGTTCACTTTTACTTTTTCTTAATTTTTTCTCTTTCCAGGTAAATTTTATCATCTACATCAAAAATTATCTAATCTGTTAGGTGTAAAGTTGAAGGGTGAAAAACGTCCACGTTGTATATACTTTATAGCGCATCAAACAGCTTTTTTAGACTTATTAGAAGCTTATTTATCTGTTTCATCATGGAGACTGCTTTGTCGTCTGCGTATTCCCTCAGATTATCAATCAGTTAGTGCAAATACATATGTTCTACTTGATCGTATTAATTATTGGCCATATGGTACAATGGGTCCATTATTAGTATTAATACATGCACGTAGTCCAGCTTCATTGTTGGTTAGTTTACGTGCTGATCCAAGTGTGCATATAATAATATGTGATGTTGATTGGCGAACAGAAGTGACAGATAATTTAAAAGCTATGTAAGTGCGTATATATATATATATATATTTGTTAATAAGCTCATTTATTTCTCTTAGAAATTTAACCATTTATAAAGTGAATCAGACCACTACCTCATACAAGGGACAATCCAAATTAAATTAGAAGCTTTCAGGGAAACAGGAGCTGCGCAAAGACCACAAGCCAAGTTCAACACTCAAATTTTGAAGGACCAAGATACAAAGGACATCTTCATTGCAAGCATAAAGGACAAAGCCAAGACACAAATCAACATTAACGAAGAGGTCGGCGTCGAAAAGCACTGGAACAACTTGAAAACGGTGTGGAGTCAAACCTGCATGGAAGTTCTAGGCAGAAAGAAGAGGCAGGACAAACAGTGGCTCACTACGGACACTTGGAAACAAATAGAAGAGAGAAGGATAGTGAAACAAAAGATTATCCAGTGCACTGACGAGCAACAAAAACAGGATTTGAATGCAAGCTACAATGCGCTGAACAAAAGAGTGAAGAAGAGTGCCAGAGAAGACAAAAGAAAATATTATGAAACCATGGCAAGTGAAGCAGAACAAGCTGCAGGCAAAGGAGACCTCGCCACACTCTACCAAACAACTAGGCACCTATCGGGAAAAAGTTCGACACAGATTAAGCCAGTAAAAGGATGACAATGGAAAGTCAATCACCAAGGAGGTGGAGCAAAGAAAACATTGGACTGAACACTTCAGAAGACTTCTAAATCGACCGCCACCTGCAACGCGCCCAACAATACCAACAACGGAAGCAGATCTACCAGTGAACATCGACCCCCCGACGAAATCAGAAGTCTTAAATGCAATCAAGATGCTAAAAGCTGAGAAAGCAGCAGGACCAGATGGAATCCCAGCAGAAGCATTGAAAATGGACCCAGAGACACAGCAGACTTGATAACGCCATTGCTAGAGAAGGTGTGGAAAGAGAGCAAATTATCTGAGGATTGGAAGAAAGGATACTTATTCAAACTACCAAAGAAAGGAGACTTAAGTCAATGCAAAAACTGGCGTGGAATTATGCTCCTGTCCATCCCAAGCAAAATACTAAGCCGCATCATCCTGGAGAGAATCAAACAAGCCAACCTGGATGAAAAACTTCGACCGGAACAAGCTGGATTCAGAAGAAACAAGTCATGTATTGGTTAAATAGCCACACTACGGATCATCATTGAACAAAGCTTGGAATGGCAGTCACCTCTCTATCTCAACTTCATCGACTTTGAAAAGGACTTCAGCGGACAGCGTCGATCGAGAGGTGATTTGACAACTACTTTGCTACTACGGGGTCCCATCGACAAGTATACATCTCATCCAAAAGTTATACGATAATGCTGAATGCCAAGTAATCCACAACGGGAAACTTACGGAAGCCTTCAAAGTGAGGACGGGAGTAAGGCTAGGCTGTCTACTATTGTCAATGATCTTCCTGATTGTAGTAGATTGGATAATCCGACAAACAACGGGAGATGAGGAAACAGGCATAAAATGGACTCACACAAAAAACTTGGGTGATCTTGACTTCGCCGATGATATATGTCTGACTTCCCACAAACTGGAAGATATGTAAGTGAAAAGCAACAAGCTGGGAGAAGAAGCATCAAAGATAGGACTTCAAGTGAACATAGATGAATATTCCTGGCCAAAACCAACAGCAACAACAACAGACAACAATCATCGTAGATGGGAGGAACCTAAAAGAAACAACCTCCTTTACCTACCTTGGAAGCATCGGTTCAACTACAGGCGGAACTGACGAGGACATCAAAGCCAGAATCGGAAAAGCAAGACAAGCTTTCATTATTCTCAAGTCTGTGTGGAGGTCAACAGCACTCAGCATCAAAAATAAGATCCGGATTTTCAACTCCAATGTGAAGTCAGTGCTACTCACCATACGGATCAGAGACTTGCATTGCGCGTCATAAAGAGCATCTTAAACAAACTTCAGACCTTCATCAACAGTTGTCTTTGCTCAATACTCAAGATCAAATGGCTGACCAGAAAAGATCAACTGCAGGGAGGGATCTCTGGGAGTGAACCGACTCAGCAGGAACCGATTGTGAAACAAGTAGGCATGAAGAAATGGAGATGGATTGGCCATACTCTGAGATCATCAAGTGACATCACACGACGGGCTATCGCTCGAGTGGAACCCGAAAGGGAAACGGCGAGTTGGCCGTCAATGCAAGGGTGACTTGGAGGAGGTCATGTGAAGAGGAAATGAAAGCATGTGGGAAGACTTGGAGCGGAGTGAAAAAGTTGGCAGAAAACCGAAGGTAATGGAGACTTGGGCGGCTTAAGCCCTATGTTCCTCTAGGAATTAAAGGATACAATAATAATAATGATAATAATAAAGTGAATCATTGTCGTCAGAGCTTTTATCTCGTTCAGAGATTCGGCGTGTCATGAAAAACATTTCCATCAGACTTCATACTTTCATTAACAGTTGCCTTCTCTGGCTCCATACTGAAGGTCAGATGGTCAGAAAGGATAAGCAAGAAGTAACCCTGACAACAAATCTAGCACCCAACAAATATGCAGAAGGAAATACATTAGTCATACGCTATCGGGGCCGTTGAGTGATATCTCGTGCCAGATCTCCAACGAGAGACAATAAGTTGGGCGTGGATCTAGGCGTGATACGAAGGAGATCGTATGAAGAGAAAACGAGAGCTTATGGGTAATTGTGGAGCCATCTAAACAAGATAGCAGAAAACAAGATGAAATGGCAATGTGAAGCTCTATGTTCCATTTGGAAATCAAGAGAATAATAAAACGTGTCACAAAAATTCTCTATATAACCCACTGTTTTGTTGTTGTTTCGTTTAACAGTACAATAGTTGACTAAATTAAATGTAAATCATATGGTGAGTTGTACAATGGTTAGAAAGATATAAATATCAACCAGACTAATATTAGTATCATTAGTGTTTACAGGTGTATTCTGCAGGTACATTTCAATGCTCAGGATATTTAACTGCAAACTTTAAAGGTTTCTAGTTGAAAAAAGCTGATCGTAATGTAGAGGTCAAAGAGATATTATATGAAGGATATTGTTATTATTCATTCTTTGCATTCCTGATAGAACGTAAAACTTTGGGCAACATATCCACATTACACTCGCTTCTCTACTATCACTTTTGGTTGGCTGTATGATTGCCCACAGAAGTGTATTTTCTCTTCACAGGATCTCTCGGGCGCCCAATTCGTCGCCTCCAATTCACTTCTCCTTCGAGGGCTTAGTGTGTGATGTTACTCATTGGTGTGTTTAGTATATATTCAATCCATCTGCATTTTCAAGTGTTGGTTTGTAGGGATTTGATTGGTTTCAGGATTTCATCATGAGCTGACATCTGCATTTCTTTTCATGAAGGATATAAGTGAAGATCTTTATATTACTGATTATGGTTAAAAAATACATTCATTTTGGTAGTCTTCGTTCATATTATGGATTTCAGTGAATGAGATCGTAGACGTTGCCTGTGATGATATATTGATATTAAAGTATTGAGTCCACATGTAGTGACATAAGGGATAACGTCATTTTTTTCATATTTACTACGAATAGTATGATAAATGTAACTTGTTCAACGTAGACTGGGTTTAAATTATTTGATATTTGCAATGCTACAAGTGCAACTCCAGCAGAAACACATACATTTAATGATGGTATAGATTCTCTTTGTTGAACCATTGTACTAGATCTTCTAGGTCAAGTTTTGAGTACACAGACAATGTAGTTCTTTCATTTGAGAAAGCTGACAAAATCCAGTGTTCTGAAAAAAATAAGTAAGCTAAAACCTTCATTTTTCGCATACTCTTTGCGCATTCCAAATGTACGATGTGATGATAGTTCTTATTTTAAGAACTTGTTTATTGTGATAATTATCTTTGTTACTTACTGTCTGCACGGTGTATGGGGTTATGATTTAGTTTATAGCATTCAACTTTCAACAACTGAGCTATGAGTTCGAACTCTGCTTCGTTTACAGGGATTTAGGCACACAGATTATATAATCACTTCTTACATATTGGGTTTAACTCTCTACCAGCTACATATGAATGTACACATTATGGTTTTCGAGTAGCACAGCCGGCGGCACAGCGGTAAGGACTCTTGCCGATCATGCACATCATCCGGAGTTCGAGCCCCACCGACGCACACCTGATATCTATGGTCGGCCTAAAAAATTTGGGCTACCGTTATCACATGCTGAAAATTCCATACCTGTCCCAAAAATACGGTGTGGAATCAAGCTGCAATCAAAAATAAAATAAAAAAATCCTATCATCATAGAGGGAAAGTTACTGAAATCAACTATTCACAAGAGTTTTATTTAGTTCATTTTTAATTTATTAGGAAGTATTTCCATTTTGTATCCATATAAAAATATTTATTCCACTTAATTCTATTCATGATGGCAAAATAATTCTCTGGATTAATTTATAATCTTATAAAGCTCAACTACTCACAATCGTATTTTAAACAATACCGTATGATTTAAATATTCATTCTTCTTTTTTATATTGTAAAATCGACTACAGTATTCATAGTTGGATTTTGAATGGATTATCCACTTTCCCATCCTCTACTGAATACAATAAAGAGTATAATTCTGGTCTACAAAAAGTGAATACTTATCGTTTATTGTCAAGTGGTGATTTTGGTTATTCAATTCCACGGATGACTGTAGAAGCCTGTCTACTACGTGGTGTAGCTTGTCGTCTGTTACCACGAGCTGTATTTCATGCTCATTCTACAACGCATGTCAATCGTTCTTCTCTACTATTTGCACGCGTTCAACCTAATGTTGTCAATGGATTATTATCTGGTGTATATGCAAGAAAATTGACACATCGTTCATTTATGCAAAAAATTAAATCCGGTGAATTTGATCGTTTAGATATATTCAATGATCGTAATTTCTTTACACCTATTAAACAGGATACATTGTCTTGTTCATCAACCTCATCTGTCGCCTCATCATTCTCGTGCACAGGTCCAGATAATCGATTAGATGAATTTCGTAATGAGAGAACAGGTGAAGAAGATGATGTTATATTATTTCAGGAAAGAGAGCCATTAAGTGAACAACTTGTGAGTGTTATATTGTGCCTATGTTTTAAAAAAAATATGTTAATGTGACACAAATTATTCCTATTGATTAGTCACCAGTGTCATGCGTCTAATCTTCAGTTTTGGTTCATACTGAATTCTGCCTGTCAATTCCGCAATGTTGTCACCAAGCAAAGTGGTTTTACATCGTAGTGCACTCTGAATTAATACCAGATGCCAGTCGATAGGAAGCAATGAACTTAGGTTTCGTGTTTGTTGTTGCTCTTCAGCAAGACGTATCTGCAATTTTAAAGGATCCGATATCCCCTCAGAAATTCGAAACCGTATCACCCATTGCTGTAGTTAGAGACGTTAACACTTAATTATTCAGGGACACAAGTTCCTTCAGGGTTTCAAATACTTCCAGCTGACAAGTCTGTCTGTCTGTTTTCGACATAGAACTTTGCACATATGTGCGGAAGTTCAAGTCGCCACACTCCCTCCTTGTAGCACACAAAGCAAGAGAAGAAAGTAGAAGAAATGCATAATAGAGACAGTAAACAGAGGTGTGAGACAAAGGAATAGGAATAACGAAGAACGAAACAGTTTCATTGGAAATCCCGACCGAAAGCTGCTACCTTGACGTGGTGGTCGGGCTTGAACACCGCAATGATCTAACAAGCTATACTGGCTGAGACTTATGTCTCTTGAGGTTCTACCATGCCAGGCAGGTTGTTTGGATAGCGGTTAAACAAAAAGCAGCTACTCAATCCAATACCATGATTCAAACAAATTCACAAAATTTCATGCCGGATCGGCCGTGGCCCGGATTAACAACGACCGCGCTTCCTGCTCCCGTGTCACAGGGCAGGAGTGATAAGTATGCTACTGAGGCACACCAGACAAAAGAGAACAAACAAAAACAGGCCGCGTGTGACCGGCCTCAAGCAGTTGTCCCCTGGGCTCTGCGGTCACGCAACCAACTTCCACTGTGTGGGCAGCCGGGAAGTAACAATCACCCTCACAATCCGAAATGCACACGAAACCTCTCTAATCCTCACTCATCATTGTCTTCATCTTCATTTGTATCATCTTGCCTTCCTTCTACTGATGCAACTCCTCTACTTGATGGCTCCTCACTTCCTCTTCACTCTGTGTCCACTACAAACGACGGAAGCCAAAATACCACCACCGATAGTCTCATAAAGCCACGCAGCCAGCTGACAAGTGCCAGTGTGAACAGGTGTACTATTATTTTACCTGGTAAACTAGTTTCTCTTTGTATGCTGAATAATAAAGTAACCTGGATTTAATATTTCCTACTAACTTTGCTTCTAAAATCCACGATGGCATATTAGATTTCACTAAGTGGTATTTTGGTTGACATGTGTCTCTCTTTTGATTGTTGATAGATTCATTACACTGTTTATAACTGAAGACATTCAATAATTACTCATTAGCAGTCTGTTTGACGACTTGTTGTGGGTGGATGCATCACTAAAAGCATCATTTAATTTACGAAGATTGTCAACAAACCATAGAAAATATTCAAAATTATAAATTTTACTTACTGCTTAAACAGATGAGCATATATATATATATATATATATATATATATATATTTCCCATTTAAAATTGATCTTAGTCATCGTTAAATTCTGTCTGTCTGGATTCAACATAGAACTTGTCACCGAAGTGCACCAGTTCCAGTTGCCACGTTCCAAACAGCACACAAAGGTAGACAAGAAGATGAGCGAAGAGAATCAATAAGGTTTGACAGGTATAAGAGTGAAACAGAATGGGTAGTGGTAGAAAGGAATATGAAAGATTATAGAGACCGAATACATCTGCGCTGGCCATTGACAACGATTTTGAGCCATGTCACCTATTGTCTCCAGCCATTGATTGATTCCTAGAGTCAGTCCCGAGGGCCCCAACCCAGAAGTCTGCATCTCCCTCCCTACCTGACTCAATTTAGCTATCAAGGATTTCATGGACTGATGGGGCCATGTTTTTGTTTGGCCACCACTTACTCTTTTCCAACCTGCACCTATATCAGCTAGTAATACCTGTCGGGCGGGGGAGGCGGTGGTTAGGCATGCACAGCACGTGACCTAGCCATCTCAATCTATGTAACTTTATAGCCTCGTCGATTGATTTTCCCTCTTTGCCCAACACTATACACCTAACGTCAACATTATTCTATTTAGCAATGGAAATGTAGATCAGTTGTTCAAGCACTCGACCGCCAACCACTGGATGATGAACTCGAACACCCCTCCACTTATCAACGTTTGAGCAGTCAGACAGTATCATTATCTGTCACACAATAAGTAAGGTATCCACTTGTATTACATCTATTTTTGTGTATTTTGTCACAAGCTTAGGCATTACTCAGCAGTTGGGAATATATGTATTCATGAATAATCCCTGTGGAAAGATTCAAGCATGTAGTTCAAGGAAGAGACTGTTTTATAAACAAATTCATTTCCTTTAACTGTACAGTTGCATTTATATACAACTTTTTCCACGGTAAAGGATAGTGACCAAAAAAGCTTTGAGTTTTAATTGTCATATTTGTTAACATTGATCAATGCATAAAAGGGGTTGAATAAAGTATTAAAGTTACGTAATAGGATAAATAATTTAATGAATGAGTTGTAACCAGGATCCACATAGAGACAAAGGAAAATGTGATATTACTTAGAAGTTCGAAAGAAACGCAAGAATTATAGAGATTTAAAAAAACAAACACACAAATAGCGATCAAGTTGGTAGAGAACAAGGTCGTTCCCCAGTATGCAGAAGCCTGAAGGACAAGATCTCGCCTCTGATCACTTCTATGTGAATGTAAGTATTAATCTACTCCCCCCCGCCGCCCCTTTTAAAGCACATAATTGTTTCTTTAAAACATTTTCATTTCATAACTTTCAGCTGCATCGGGCTTTAGAACTTTTTGAAGATCCAGCTGATACCCAAGCATGGTGTTGTACAAATGCAGAGAGAAAAGCTATTGCCAATGAATTTATTCCTATTGAAAATGAAATCGATGATTATTATTCACTGAGCAGTAACAGTAACATAGACAGTGATATTGAAGATGACGAGGATGAATATCAGAATGAGGATGAAGATGATGATGAAATTGATGATTCTGAAGAAGATATTATTATTAATGATGAATTCATCACTAGTGAATTAAATACAGATTTTATGCAATCTATAGAAGAATACAAGGAAAATTCTCAGTCGGACTTATCAAAACAAGCAGGTTGTAGTAATTTACTTGAATGGGAATTTGGAAATTATGAGCTTTTAACGCGTATCTCAGATCTTGAAGATCAATTATATCCATTGGACAGTGATTGGTTAACTTATCATTATTCTGTTCATGAGAATTTTACACCTGATCAGTGTGAACAACAACTACAACAACCACAGGATGTAGAATCTAGTTCACAAACATTTCCGCCTTCATTAACACTCTTTTCTCAACTTCCAGTGAGTGTAATTTGTATAACTTGTTTTTTTGTTTTTGGTGTATTCTGTTGAGTATTCTCCAGTGTCATGTATTATTAAATCAGTTTTTACAAATTCTTGATAGTATTCAGTATTTGATTATACCAAATCAAACTGTGAAAGTCATGTACAGGAATATCCCGGTGTACATATTTTGGTTCTTGAAGATTTACCTGCCTAAATGCATAGTTCATAAGAATCCGTACCAGTGTGAAAATTCTCTGATCTTTTACTATCAAGTTTGCGTGTTCAGTCCTAAACTTGAGGTGCATCAATAACTAACTATTCATATATCTAAATTAAAGATCACGTTACTTCACATTGGTAACTTCTAAGTATTGTTAAAATATTCACAATAGATATGTTGTTAGTCATTCATCTGCTGATCTTACAGTACTTATTTGCTTAAGTGAACTTTTATTGACTCTGTGATGACTGGCTCTGATGGTTAACACAATTTGAATTTGTTAATTGTGACTGGCAGTGGACTCCAGGATGAACATTTTATCCTGAACCGTTTACAGAGATCGAGTATTTCGATCCAATATGAATGAATCTTTAGGAATTTGAAGTTAGCATCAATAGATAACAAGTGATAACTTCTTCGCAGGTGGTGGTTGTTGTGGCCCATATGACTTAGCGGATAACGCTTTGGTGTTCAAAACAATATGTCCTAGGTTAGATTTACACTGAAAAAACATCTTGACTCTATGAGGATACGGGTATATTCAACTGACGACTTCCAGTTAGGAGGGATTGCGTATCGCATCCTGGATTTCGCTCCCAATCACCAAAAAATACATGACTATACTACTGAGTTGTTCTTGATTTGCCAGTTCTGCAGAAAACTTTACCGTCTCGTATCTTCTATTCTTTAGCTAAATTTAAAAATTATTTTTAATCTAAATGATTTGAAGAATATAAAAGACAGATTCAGAGCAGAAAATTTTCTTTATCGACGAAATCATCTTCAGAGGCTGTACAGTCGTATTTATACTTACCAAAAATATATAGTGGTCTATTATTCAGTAAGAGGGGTGGGGTGACATAATTGATATAATTATTCATAAGTGGCTTTAGAAGTGAAAATTAAAAGTTGTAAATTACGTGGTACTCAACGGCACAAAGATAGAAGTTTGATAAGGTTAAAATTGCTCTTGAGTGAGAATAAAGGTATTTGAGTGTCAATTTAACAAGTGTGAAGAAGGTGTGAAAATATACAAAACGAGCATATGAGATTGATAATAGTGAATTAATTATTAAAGCAAAAGCAAACTAAAAGTAAAGTTAAAAACAAAAGAAAAAATCAAATTTTTTTTACAGGGAACGATTAGTGAAGAGGTTAAGACCAAGGTAGAATAAGAGACTGGACAAACGTTTTCTATATACAGAGTTCAGGGTTGTATTGACGAATTGCCAGCGCCGCCGCCATACACAAAAGCCGAGACCTGACGCCCTTTGTGCCATTTGACTTCACTTTGTAGATGTTGAAAGACGACTCTGGTGGAGCTAGGTGGCCTGAGTTCACCAAATGGTCGAGAATTGAGCTAGTAATTGTCTTGCATTGTCCCTTTGCTAACCAAGCCGGATAATGTTCAGAGATACGTTTGGAAAGCGTGCGCTTTGTATGGGCGGCCAATATAACTTGCTCCACACGAGCATGTGAATTTATAAACACACATTGAGGTGGCCCAAAGCGGCAGCTTATCCTTCACACATCCGTTGATCATTCGTCGGCTGTAGAAATTGATACGTAGCTCAGCCATAAAGAAGGCTTTCCCAGTGATCTGCGTAAGCGATTCTTCAAGATCTCAGCTGCAGTATCACCTTTAAATTCAACCCTCATAAAGAGCAGTTTCTTCGGCACAGTCTGAATTCTTTCAGGCTTTTCTCTTAACTTCATGTTTTTCTCGATAAATCTTGGAGGATATCCATTCTCTATAAGAACTTGTCTGGGTCGCTCCAGTTCCCCATCGATTGTATCACTGGAACATATCCTCCTTATTCTTCAGGATAAGGAATGCATCAGATTTCTCTTTCTTCTCAAAGGGACCCAGCTATGGAAATTTGTGTACTGACCATTCCATGTTGGTTTCTTGTAGATTGATCTTTGAAGGGAACCATCAGATCTCCTCTGTAGAAAAACATCCAAAAAATGGAATTCCGAGTTAATCTCTGATTGCGACGTGAACTTGATGGCATGATGGCAGCTGTTGAACTCCTTAGTTATCAATTCGATGTCAGTATTGTCGTCACATATGATGAAAGTATCATCCATGTATCTTTGGTACAGATGGAAACTGTCGATAGTAGGACGTAAAATACTATTCTCCAAACTAGCCAAGAAGCATTTCTCCGATGATTGATTGTCGCAAATATGACTTATTGCTTAGGTTCACGTAGTTTTGTAGTCTAATCGACTGACTGCTACACTACTCTTTATCAGCCAACATACTATTTACTATGTGATGACTCACCGTAGCCGACTCATTGCTTTATACCAGGCTAAACTACTTATTAAATCAGGGTTCACAATAATTTACAAAGCTGAAAGTTAGCTTGATATAAGTATAGAACTGTGGTAGAGTATAACTTCATAATTGGTATAATTTTATTTTACTCATGTATATAAATGAAACAAGAAAGTCGTGTGAATATTACCTTGATATAATTATGAGTGGCAATAATTTGTGCTGGAAACGTCATCACTAAATATTATTGTATAACATTGTGTGATTTTATCAAAATAAAAGACAACGGTCTGTTTAAAATTTCCTGAAATAATAATTATTCAATAATTTTCTTACTTCCATTTTTTTCTTCTTCATGCAATAATGATTGTTTGTTATAGGTATGGTGTCCTTTTGAATCACATCTAAAATATCTACATACAGAATCAAATGCCTCAGAGTCTTCTCTCCTTCATTTGACAAATGAGTGTGAATTACCACTACCTGGTGAAGATTCAAATGATTGGATATCAAGTAATCTTGAATTTGATTGGGGTTATGAAACTGTTCCTATGGCAGAAAGTGAACTTCCACCTTTGATTATTGCACCAGTTGTACAGAATAATATAACTTCCAGTGTTACTACTACTACTACTAACAATAATACTAGTAGTAGTATTACTAATAATGATATAATGGATGGACAATTAGCAAGACGGCGCCCAATAGTAAATCATTCATCATTGTCATCTCGATCAATGAATGATAACAATGTACATATATCAACATATCGAAGTGGTTCGCGATTGAATAATAAAAATCTTAAACGGCGTACACTATCAACTAATATCAACTCTAGTCCTCGTAAAACTGCTTCTTATCCTACTCTAGATGATTCTTCAACTGCTCATGGAGACACTAACTTCACTGGTGGTAAGCCTTTTCTGTGTTTATTATTTATTCGTTGAAGTGATTTTTAAACTATCGTTTGGTGATTGGCATATTTATATGTAATGCATTTTATGTAGTGTTGTAAGCATCTCTCAGCAATTAGTGGTCAAAGATGTAATGTGTGTGTGTTGTTGTTGAAGGTATCACAGGACAGTCTTTTCGATCTTTGCATTTCTGACATATCCATGTCGTTACTTGTTTAGCGGCGGCTAGCAGTAGAATCCAGTACACACCTTTCATCCTATTTTGGACTTGCCAACTCAGTGTGTCTACATCCATAATCAGTTATGATGTTCCATGTGAGAAATGAACCTAGCATTCATCTTTGCAAACGTTCACCGAAGAACAGGTACATCCAGCTAATGAGTCTCAAGTAGGATGGAATACTCATTCTGAATTTTACCGCTATCTTCAAACAGATAACCTTGAGTCATTAAATCTGATAATTTTGGGGCATTCATTCCAGGAGTTGATATACTGAAATAAGGCTATTCAATTCACTCTGGAGATATTACTATTATATCCTTTAATTCCTAGAGGAACATAGGGCTTAAGCCGCCCAAGTCTCCATTGCCTTCGGTTTTCTGCCAACTTTTTCACTCCGCTCCAAGTCTTCCCACATGCTTTCATTTCCTCTTCACATGACCTCCTCCAAGTCACCCTTGCACTGACGGCCAACTCGCCGTTTCCCTTTCGGGTTCCACTCGAGCGATAGCCTGTCGTGTGATGTCACTTGATGATCTCAGCGTATGGCCAATCCATCTCCACTTCTTCATGCCTACTTGTTTCACAATCGGTTCCTGCTGAGTCGGTTCACTCCCAGAGATCCCTCCTTGCGGCTGATCTTTTCTGGTCAGCCATTTGATCTTGAGTATTGAGCAAAGACAACTGTTGATGAGGGTCTGAAGTTTGTTTGAGATGCTCTTTATGACGCGCAATGCAAGTCTCTGATCCGTATAGTAACACTCTGGAGAAAAACTGGAATATTATATTTTTTTAGCAATTCAGTTATGAACATGAATTTATGTTTAGGGTAGGAATTATTATTATTTATCCCTTGAGTTCTCAGAGGAACAAAGGGCTTTAGCAGCACATTACCACTTCACTCTATTCTCTATAGTCTTTTTTAGTTTATTCTGCGATTCCCTCTAAGCCTTCTATTTCTTCCCTATACAATCTCCACTGTGCGACTTAAATAACTTAAGAGGTGTGCAGTAAGTTATGCATATACTTTAACAAGCTAATTCTACCTTCCTTAAAGACAGTAAGAAGTAAATACATTAAAACCGCTATCCGGTGTTAACGTTTTCTAACTAGGTGATAATATAATAATCATTTTCAATGACTCAGCCCACCTATCTTCGTAAATTTACCTTATAATTTAGTGTTATGGATGTCTGTTTCTACCTGCTTCAAAAATATGTACCTACCTGCAGAGTAAGATTATCTCCCTAAAACTGCAGTTAGATTTGCAACATGTGACGCATTGGTCCAGAATCACACTCCGTTTGTCATGGTGTCTGCTATCAGATTGTTCTATTTGTCTAGACCAAAGCACTGTGGCAAGTTCCATTGTGGGTCTCAGTGTTATACAGTAATACTTACAGTCAATATTACTGTATAACACTGTGAGACTTTATTAAAATAAATTTTATCCACAATGGAATTATACTTTACCAAAGTGCACAAGCTCTATTCTTATATTGTGGCGCGTTATGTAGTTCAGAAGCATGCATATATGCATATCTCATTACTAAAAGTTTATAAATGGCAATCTGTTGATGTACAAGTGAAAATCAGTCGCATCTATTCTTTGATGACTTCAGTGATTGCACATTTCACGGTTTTCCTCTTTGTCATTCTTGATCTGTGCCTAATTCTCTCACTAATTGTCACCTCTTCTAATAGTAATTCCAGACAAATAATTGATTTTTAACAGGTACTGTTGTCTTATCTGGTATGTTTTCTTCAGTTAGGCACTGGTTTTTCACTTTCACGAAGATTTTGATTTCTTATTTTTTATGAAATGGTTGCAAAAGTAAACATGCTTTAACTAACATGTTCAACATGACAACGATGCAATTAAGTTCACTTTTTAGTTTGTATTGTAACGACAGAAGACAAGGAACAAGCAACAGATCGTTTATTGAGAAAATCAAGAGATATTTTTTAGATTTTTATGTTTATTATTATTCGTTATTTTAGCGGAGAAGCAACGTCTTCTGATTGGTTTTTATTGTTGAAGGTTTTTATGTACTGTATGTGACCGTTGTTTACAAAGTTGTCTATATATCTGCGAATTGTATTTACACACGTCTGCTGTGATTGGTTGTTGAGTTCCTCAAGGTTGAGCTTTGTTGTTGTTTTTTTCTCATGACCCCGACTTGGGACGTAAACATCGACGTAAATTGTTGTTTACAATTTTGCCTTGCAGACAGCTCTCACCACAGTATCATACATGAAGTTCTGATTTTCTGTTTTGATAAATTGTTATTTAACTCCTTTTCAAATACGAGGAGAAACAGTGTTTTCGTCCTCGTAGAGAGGATTGATGGTTGTTAGCCAATTCTTTTCTGTTTATTCAAAGGCGTACACATATATGTATGTTCATGTGAGTGCTTTGTCAGTGTTCAAAACACGTGGGATGACGACTGTCAATGTGTTCTCTCCAAAAATGATATATCTGTTTTCGTTGTTAGCTTTCTGTTAGTGGTTTGAAAGTTGGATTATGTTTCTTTCCCTCTCCTGCTTGAAATTATTTCCCAACAGGAATAAGTATTGATGTTCAAAGCGAAATCACTCTCTGTGATTCCTCTTATCTTTTTATCGATGTGTGATTGGATTGTGTTTTCCTATGTGGTTATTATTGTCTATTTAGGACTTATATTGCCAGTATACATTTAACCTTTTGTCTCTCGATATTAAATACTCTCATTAATCAATGATATCGAGCTAGTTTATTTTGTAGGTGAACATATCTTATTTATTAACTTTCATCTTTTTTTTTAGCTTCTGACGAAAATGAATCCAGAAGTCAGGATAATCGTGTGATAGGTTCACAGTCATCACGGGATTCCACGCCTTCAGGAGGAACAACTTCAACAACAACAGGAGGTGGTAGCAGTTGTAATGTACCTCCAACTTCAGGTGCTTCTAGTGCCAATAGTTATGCCAACAATTCAATTGTTCTTATGTTGCATTCTCAAGGAAGTAATGCTAGTGGGAATTCTGCAAGTTTAAAGTTACATATCCCTCGAGTATCTTATAACAAAGATGTGACTAATGCCCGTGTTCATCGACTTCGGCGGATGAATAATATAAATGTTGTGTCAGGTTCAGATGCAGCAGCAGCAGCTATGGCTTTGGCTGCTGGAGCACAATTATTCCAGCAACAACAACAACAACAACAGTTGAATCCATCTGGATTATATCATGAGCATAATCAGCAATTAGCAAATGCTATGGCAGCTGCTACACAGGCATTTAGCCCATGGAATTCGTTTATATCGAATCCAGCTGTTTTGGCACGTTACGGACAAGTAAATTATCAACCAGGAGCAGGTAATGCGACACCGGGACGTCATCTTCCATCAGCTCTTCAAAATCTTATGGTAAGTGAAACATGCATTGTGTAACTTTCTATTTTTTGTACTCTCACTTCGACTACCTTTTGTTTGAATTCTTCACGATCATGACCATTAGAGGACACACTGTGTCAAGTTATTCACCCAAGCTGGATATTTCCTGATATCCTTATCTATTTCTGCGTCGGTGGCACAGCGGTTAGCATGCTCGCCAACCATGCACATGGTCCGGGGTTCGATCACCGGCCGACGCACTCCTTTACCTCACTTATCCAGTAATAAGACTGGTAAAGAGGGAAGGTTGGGCATGAGGCTAGCGACCCCATCCTGTAAAAATAAACATTGCTACAGAAACTTCAAGCCTCCAGCTTGAAGCCCTATGTTCCGCTGGGAACGTGAAGGAAATAAAAAAAATCCTTATCTATTTAGTTAAACCATGGATAGTCTTGTACACTATATGGACTTTCTATTAGGGTATATTGTGGTCAGTATTTCATCATCTTTTCTTCCTGTTCATTGTATTTGTTTCATATATAAAAGGGTAAAAGAAACACCCTTTTATATTTACACCATAGTTTGTTTTCAGTCATCTGACGTCAACTGAAAATATACCGTGATGGTGGGTCACCTAGTTCGGTAACCACACCGCAATCTTGACTGATAAAATTCATAAATAAATACAAGGGACTAGGAACATGACTTCAGGTACTATTTGGGAGAGGTCAGTCGTGAGCCCAAATAGCTAATTGGCGACGTCTCTTACTGCAGACCTGGGTGACACGTACTCGAGTGCCATTGGGGTATCAGTTCCCTCAGGATTCCAATTGAATGCCAACATACATGAAACGTAAGTCACCGTCACCTGTCGAGCGCCTTCAAATGACCTAACACCATAGTTTCTCCTAGTTATTGATCATGTGTATGTCTATTTCGTTCGGCTAAGTATCCAGAAATTGGACTGTATTTTCGGGTTGAATACAGCTGAATACCTTGTTGATTTTCTTGTCAGCCAAAACTTTGACAAGCATATGTTGTTTAAATTACCTCAGTCTGAATAACAAACTAACTAATTGACTGAGTTTCACCACAGAACTTTGCACAGAAATGCTTCAGTTCAAGTGTATACACTCAGTGTAGCACACAAAGATAGACAGAAGAGAATTAAAGAGAGAATTAAAAGGACTCTAATTGGCAGAAATGTCATGGAGAAATATGACAGTTTAGTGTATATGGGGGATCACTAAACATCGTTGTTTGATGTGATTGGTTTCCCATTTACTCATTATTAGCTCGCAATGCATTTGGTTTGTACTTTTATCAGTTGCATATGGCGAACTGTCTTTAGAGTTGGGAATACTGAATTTGTTCATAATCACCTAAATAGTTAATAACCACACAAAGCTGATTAAAGTTTCAACGGGAAAAGGACAGTCTCACCTCATTCCAGTCATTTATACTGTTTAACTGTTAAACTTTTGTGTAATTGATTAGTTAAAGAGTGAAAGTCATTGATAAGCTTGTGAAAATTAATGAATGCTTGAGCATTCATCATATATTTATATCGTTTTTCTTGAGTAAAAATAAAATACTTCCAATCATTGACATCTCAAATAACCAGCCAGGAAAATCAATAACTCAAGACGTAGTTTCCGTATCTCCGTACTCGGGTTGAGCAACACTCTAGCTTTTTAAATTATTGTACTAAGTTTATGTGTCATTGGAAACACCATCTGTTTTCATCTTTCCAGTAGCCTATTCCATTCAATGAAAAATATATGTGTAATGTTGTTCTCCAGTTTTAATGTACACAAAACTCCATACATAGAATTCAATTAGTGTTTAACATGTAGTCATTAGTTAACGTCAGTTAGTATGCTTAACAACCTGAGTCGTTGGCAGTCATCCTTTTTACGGTTATATGCTTCAAGATGGCTTTTTCTCTGGCTTTATTCCTTGATTGTCGTGGCCTCTCCTAAGTCAGTCCCATCCACTGCCCTCACGCGACAACGATGTTCCTCTCATAAAATGAGAACAAGGAGACGGAAGTCTCGCGATTTCAAAAGTACTGGTGGACATACTAGTCTACCTAAGAGAGCTGGAAAACTCTGATCCCAAGCCCATAGCGTGCATGTGCTACAGAATCCGAACCAATCAAATGGTGTATGGGCTTTGTGGGACACTAGTGACTAGTGCGATTTGTCTGACTAGTCCTTTGTTTGGTGCAGACTGAATCCTATCAGTCGGCTCTGCAATGAGGCCGCCATTCTAGGTAGCCCGCCATCATGGTGCATATTGATTTGGTGATATTATATGATTGGAGGCAATTGGTACGAAGACTTCGACCTAGGTTTCGTGCTAGTTGGCACTCAACAGTCAGCAAGGCGTATCTGCAACCTTAAAGGAACTCATGTCCCTACTAAGATTCGAACCCGCGTCACCCAGTGCTGCAGTCAGAGATGTTACTACTGAGCTATTCGAACTCGCGATTGACTTGTTTGGGTCGGTCGAAACTATGGGTACACAGCCCCTGAGGCTACTCCACTCCCTTGTCGATCAGGTTGTATGTCAAAGGCTCGACGCATGGCCCCTTTCGGCAACTGCTATCTACTTCGAGCTGGACATCCGAACCGTGTCCATGTTTGTGTTTTAATTACAATAATACTGCTACTAATATTACTATTATTATTGAATGTGATTTGTTGGTGTTCTTTTCACTTTCCACTAAATTCTGTTGCTTTTGTTGAACTTTCAGCAAATGTCGAACACTTCTCAGTTCCCTGTAATGAAATATTCAGCTGGTGGGAATGGGGCTGTTGTTGTTGGTGCAGCAAATTTTCCTTTGAACAATACGTCTCCATCATTAGTTGGTATTAATGTAAATGGGCAGTTGAATACTCCTATTAATAATGCTGGTGCCAATACTACAGCTCCTATGAATAATAATTCAACACAATTAGCTAATCAATTATATGTGGGTAAACAACCAGATTGGCTGATTTATGAAGAAGCAGCTTTGTATTTAGTAAGTTTTCTTTTCTCTGTCTCTCTTGTTTCGCTGATTTCTCTTATTATCTTGTTGAATTGGTAAATCAAACAACCGATTAATTGGATGACATAACAGGGTAGTAATCATCTCGTTAGTGTGTGCCAAGTTTGTCTTGCGATTTGGTGGGGTTCATAAAAGCCGTCGCCTAAACGTTGATGTGAGCAAACTAGTAGCACCTTCTACTTCTTTGAAATACCGGAATGAGTTACAATGAATGCTTGCCAGCAACCCCCCAAGTAGTATAGATGAACATTGGTTTCATCTGCAAGGTGCCACGCAAAGGGCGATTGTAGCCGCTTGCGGCTTGAGAGAATGCTCCGTTAAAAACCACTGGGTTTCTGAGAGTTTCTTGCAACTCCTGGATGAACGCCGGTCCATTCCGGCTGGCAGCGAATACAACAATAAGCGAAAGGCGCTCACGCGCAAGATTAGACAGTGTTTACGTAAGGACCGCGAAGCCTAGTGGTCAGAACGTGCGTGTGAGATGGAGTCAGCTGCTGCATCTGGCAACAGTCGGAAGCTGTTCCAACTCATCCGAGCCACCGGCAGCAAGAAACAAGGTGTCAGCGAGACGGTCTGTGAGGCAGATGGCACTCCAATTACCAACTTGAAAAGACGCCTGGAACGCTGGGCAGAGCACTTCGGGAAACAGTTTAGCTGGCCACCAGCTTCAGTGTCTACTATCATTAGCCCGAGTGCTCCTTGGTCGGTTAGTACCGACCCACCCACCAAAGCGGAGGTCCGTAAGGAACTCCAAGTATTGAAACGCCATAAGGCTCCCGGCCCAGACAATTTACCCCTGGCTCTTTTTAAAGATGGTGGCGAAACTCTCACAATGGCTCTAACTGGGTTGTTCAGGAAGGTATGGGAGACTGAGAGTGTACCATCAATGTGGAACGAAGCCATTATCATTCCCATCTTTAAAAAGGGTCGACGTAATTCGTGTGACAATCATAGGGGTATCAGTCTGCTACCAGTCGCGTCTAAAATATTGGCTGCTGTCTTGCTTCGCAGACTGTGCAAAATACGTGAGGGATTGGTTCGCGAAGAGCAGGCTGGGTTTCGTTCAGGTCGTGGATGCATTGACCATGTGTTCACCCTTCGTCAGTTGTTGGAACACCGCCACACGTATTGCAGGCCAACGATCGTTGTGTTTCTTAATATTAGGGCTGCCTTCGATTCGTTGGACAGAACTGTGCTCTGGAACTGTCTGTTAGAGAGAGGTGTACCTGAGAAATTTGTTAACATCTTGAAAGCCCTATACAGAAACACCTCAGGTAGAGTGAGGGCATACAACCAACTATCACCACTGTTCCCAACCAACAGTGGGGTTAGACAGGGTTGCCCAATCTCTCCATTTCTCTTTAACTTTGCCATCGATGACATTCTGGAGTCAGCTCTGAATGATGTGCGTGAAGGTGGTGTAGATCTGCTACCTGGAGATAGACTTTTCGACCTCGAGTATGCAGACGATATCGTCTTACTGTGCGATAGCATGCAGGCTGTCCAGATCGCACTTAATCAGTTGGCGATCAGTGTTTGTAAGTATGGTATGTACTTTGTGCCGTCTAAGTGCAAAGTACTGTTACACGATTGACAGGAGCCTGTACCTGCACTCACTCTTGCGGGTGAACCGCTTGAAGTTGTTGATAAGTTTGTGTACCTGGGTAGTTGTGTGAGTGCTGGCGGAGGGGTGACGGGTGAGATTTCCAACCGTATAATGAAGGCTAGGGTGGCATACATCAACTTGAGCCACCTCTGGCGCCGTCGCGATGTTAGCCTGGCTGTCAAAGGTCGGGTATACAATGCTTCGGTGCGGGTTGTCTCGCTCTACGCCTGTGAGCTGAGGATGTTCGGTGACTCTGCGTGTTCGATCATCGCTGTTTGCTCAGGATTGTTTGCGTTCGATGGCATCATCGCGTGAGTAATTCTGAGGTTCGGCGGCGTGTGTTTGAGCACAGTGAAGATCATCATTCATTGAGTGTCGTCATCTGGAAACACCGGCTCCGTTGGCTTAGACATGTGCTTCGAATGTCACCCCAGAGGCTCCCATACAGGTCTCTGTTCGCTAGCCCTGGGACGGGATGGAAAAGGCGGAGGGGTGGTCAGTCCATGACGTGGCGTCATGGGATGAAGGATTTTTGTGCTAGATTAGCATCGGTTGGTGTGTCACGACTCGCTGGTTGCGGTCCGCCAGATAGCTTGAATCGATGACTCGAAACGTTATCGGATATGGCCAAGAATTGCTTATCAATGGCGAACGTGTTACAATTTCCTTCTTTCTTCCCTTCTCGATGATAGTTAACGAACACTGTTTGTACTTGTTAAGCATGACTGTTTTCCTTCCAGAGGAAGTTCTTTATCCGTTCTCTACTTATATTTTTACTTTTGATCTATGTTGTTTTTAATTCATGTTGTCTTCTGTCTACTATGTTGTTTTATCATTTTTGTGTGGCGCATCTTTCTTGGTGCCATATTGTGCCAAGTTTCTTTCAGCGTTTAAATAAATAAATAATAAGTAATCATCTCACTGACTGTGTAGTTCTCTGTTTTTTTTTCTTTTTGAAATATAAGTCCTAATATTTCTTGAAATCATTTACTACTCTGTTAAGTACTGTGTTGCCGGGTAAAGTTGGTATTAATTATCGTATAAGAAAAATAATCTGAGATTTATGTTAATGTACCGTGTCAAACAAAAGACATGCGAGACAGCGAAAGAAAGCAAACTTTAACAACTGTGAAAATTAGTATATTGGTCTAAATGGACACCGTCATCACCTTCGCGTCTATAAACATAAACTAGTTGTAATATGCATTCGCTTATGCCAATGCTTACTTACAATTATGAACATCAATTCAAGGGGAAGAATGTACACATCCTAGGCAAAGTAAACACCAACAGAATATGCTAATGAATTTCTAGAAATCTAATACTCAAACACATTTTGCAATCAATAGTCACAGTGAAAAAAGATCAACTTTCAGGTGGATAAATATACTTGGTACCAATATAAGTGGACTAGAGATTGGGAAAATCTCCACAGACAACCAATCACCTGAGGAGATGGCAGATAAACTTGTGAAGAATTCTGTAAGCTAACTTCATAGTGAAGTCTGCGATGATGATGTTGTCTAGAAAGATAATGTGAAAGCTTTGCAACTAAACCATCCTGGTTAGAGAACCACAAGTACACCTGAGTTACATATCTTCTGCATCATATCTAATGTAAAGTGGATTCATACATTCTTACAGTTTAATGTCATCTTCGCTATGATTAATAACATTTCATAATGCTGAATGTCAAAAGTTTATAGTAAACTGTAAGTAGAGTGACGCATAACTGTGCACAAAGGTTGCCTCCCCGTCATCATCATCTTCCCCTCTCTTTCAGTTTTTACGTCATAAAACCACTAGTCATACATAAAGATTATGACCTTTTATTATCTAATGCAATTTGGACCTTACATCGGCTTCTGTTAACCGTAAACTCCTGTTTAATCAATCAACGAGAAAGTCCAAATTGAATTAAGAAGTAACTGATACGCGTTGCACAAGAGTTGGCTCTTGTGGTCCAAGTGGTGTAGTGGATAACGCTTTGGCGCTGGAGCTCGAGTGGGGACGCTATCGCTCGCTGGGGAATGCAGGTGTATCCAGATGCCGAGTCCCGAACAGGACTGGATTCCACTGCTTGTCACCATCCACCAAATTATTCTAACCTTTCATTGATACTGTGTCCTTTAACTTGAAATCCTAGGATGCAGTGCATAGAATCTGATCCAGTTTTATTCCCTCTACCTTCATGTGTTGTTTTATGAATCATGAAGAATTCAGTTGCTGGATCTTTGCGCAAAGTTCTGTGTTGAAAATACGATCAAACAGTCAGTCAGTTGTCGTAAATATCAGATTGATTGTCCAGTGAATTAAATTTTTCCTTTAAAAGTAATTTCATATTGAATTAGCATATATATATATATATATATATATATATATATATATATATATATATATATATATATCTGACTCGTTTATACTGCGGCAATTTAGTACAGTTTATTGTATACAGAAACAAAGATAATTAAAAGTGATTTTCTTTTACTTTCCAATTTCAGTGTATTACAAAACTTCTAGATTTAAACTTTGAAATGAATAATTCAACTACTTCTTCTGGTACATCAATGCCGAATTATCGTTTCGCTGAATTTTTCTTAAATAACTATCTACCTAATCGATGTTTTCGTGGTGCACGACAATGTTTACTGGCTCATTTTAAAATGCAAAATATTATTGCATCAGCTAATGCTGCCGGAGTATCGACAGCATCTACCGGTGGTGGTGGTGGATCTCCACTGAATAGTCCTTTTGGAATTAAACCAGAAGAAATGTCTCATCCAACTACAGGTAGGTGTGTTTTATGACCTATATTGATTGAACTGAATTTTAGGGATCAGCATGCTCTATTCAACTTCAATCAAAGCGATAGAGGCAGCGTGTGTAGTCTATGGCGTAGTCAATGAGATACCAGTTGTGGTTAAGTGAGGCATGATTTTCTTCATGGTAATACTAAAACGAAGTTTAAGGGTTTTCTGCCGATCAATAGCACCAATTGTCAAACAGTGAATGTGTGTATTCACGTTAGTTTGAACAATTCAAGGGAATTCTGTAGACTGTACAATATGAAGACCCTGGACTCGAGCCCAGGTGGGTATTTACTACCGAAGAGTCCGAAAGCAGGACGAAATACCTGTCCAGTATTGCCTGGTTTATCAGTGGTTCTCTGGTCGACGTCAGTTTGTGGCCAAACTTAAATAATTAGAAATTCGACTCCTTTTAGGGTTATACTTTCTGAAGGGTCTTTCCAATCTCCTATGGTCTGGTTTTTAAGCTGTTATGACTTCGTTGCCTTAAAAAGAAGCTTACATTACACTTAGATATTGTTAATACTTCCATCTGCACTGTCTTAGGGATTATTGACAGTTTTTTTTCAATTGTTGTTTTGGTATTCACACGGTTGGTTTACAAACGTTTCAACTGTTTTCAGGACTTCTTTTGGCCAATCATAATGCTTAGACAACATTTTAATTACTCATTTGACATTTTCACTTGTATTTGTTCATGCTAGACTTGTATTATGCTTTGTCATTTATGTATTTTCCAATCAATTATGAATTTCTCTATGCCTCACAGTTTTGCTGTGTCAGTGTTACTGTCACTGAAGTCGTTTCTCTTATATTTTGAGTGAATGCTGTATGTTTTCACAAATTGGTGACGGATATATGTTTTCCTTAATGCTTCCAAAATTTAGTGTCAGACTTCTTTCTCGTTACTTTATTTAAGCGTTGTTTTAGTTCCAGTGTAACAATTTCATGTTATAATAGAGGCACTTTAACTTCTCTGTGAATACAAAACATTGGTTAGTATATTTACAGATGTTCCTTCTCTCCTACTATAATCAGTAAAGCATACCCACTGTTGATTTTGGACTCGTCTGTTCAACTGAAGTTTGTAGCGTATTTTGAATTTTCAAAGCAGATAGTCTAACTACAGGCAGGCGCTTTTATGATGCTTCTAGATTAAAGTGGTGTTATTTGGTTCATAGTGTTTGACAGTAGAAACCAATACGCATGTTTCCTCCTATTTAGAACACATCAACTGGATGTACTCTTATTTCTAGTGGGTAATGGTATTTCGACTGAAAAATGAACCTATCACCCGTCTTTCTGGTGTCGTTTATTCAGTAATTAATTAACTAAGTTAAGTAAAAGTAATCTTAGAAGAATTTAAACCACCTTACTGTGAAATGATAAAATTCAAGTTAAAATAGATAGGTGAATTAAAAATGCTACAACTCTTAAAAAATATAAATAAAACACAAACTTTAGCACATTATGAGCATCAAGATATGCGTCACAAATCTTCATAGTTAGTGCTAAGGCCGAGATACGGTTCGGATATCCTGACCGAAGCAGGTAGCAGTTACCAATAGGGGTCATCTGTCGAGCCTTCGACAAGGGAGTGAAACAGTTTCAGGGACTCTGTCTGTCTGTCTGTCTGGATTCAACATAGAACTTGTCAGCGAAGTGCAGCAGTTCGAGTTGCCACCTTCCAAATAGCACACAGAGGTAGACAAGAAGATGATTCAAACAAATTCACAAAATTTCATGCCGGATCGGCCGTGGCCTGGATTAACAACGACCGCGCTTCCTGCTCCCGTGTCACAGGGCAGGAGTGATAAGTATGCTACTGAGGCACACCAGACAAAAGAGAACAAACAAAAACAGGCCGCGTGTGACCGGCCTCAAGCAGTTGTCCCCTGGGCTCTGCGGTCATGCAACCAACTTCCACGGTGTGGGCAGCCGGGAAGTAACAATCACCCTCACAATCCGAAATGCACACAAAACCTCTCTAATCCTCACTTATCTTTGTCTTCATCTTCATCTTTACTACCTTGCCTTCCTCCCACTGATGCTTCAGGGGCTGTGTATCCATAGTTTCTACAGCGATTCAGGGATTGACTTGCTACCTGGGAATAATCTCGTTGACTTGGAATATGCAGACGATATAGTCCTTCTAGGCGAAGACGCTGACGAAATGCAGAGTCTTCTAAACACCTTGAACAGCAATCTACGAATGTTTGGCATGCGATTCGCTCCCGCCAAATGCAAGATGATGTTACAGGACTGGACTACGCTGGCTCCTAGTTTAGAAATAGGAAGTGAAGTGGTAGAGCACGTTGACCGCTTCACTTATTTGGGAAGTACCATCAGCCCCAACGGGCTGATCTCTGACGAAATCTCAGCACGAATACAAGGGGCTCGTTTCGCATTTGTTAGTTTACGCCGACTCTGGCGTAGACGAGATGTTCGACTATCGACCAAAGGGCGGGTGTACTGCTCATCAGTCCGCTCCGTCCTCCTTTATGGTTGTGAGACCTGGCCACTCAGAGTGGAAGACATGAAAAGACTAGCTGTCTTTGATCATAGGTGCCTGCGTTCTATATCCCGTGTAAAGTGGCATAATAAGGTGAGCAACATGGAGGTTAGGCGTAGAGTCCTAGGTAAACAGGGGAAATCAATCGACGAAGTCGTGAAGCTACATCGACTGAGATGGTTAGGACATGTGTTACGTATGCCAAGCCATCGCCTCCCTCGACGAGCAATGTTAGCGGATATAGGGTCAGGCTGGAAAAAAGCTAGCGGCGGTCAAACAAAAACTTGGCATCAGTCAATGAAATCCACAACAGTTGGTCTTAGCCACGTAGGAAGGTGTAGACTTCCAGGCTGGGGTCCTCGGGACGGCAAAAATCTATGGTTGGAAACAATTGGTGACATGGCTCGAAATCGTTCTCAGTGTCGCAGATGCATCCACTCCTTGTGACTTATGATCTCCAATGAAACTGTTTTGTATTTCTTTATTACTCCTTTGTCTCACACCTCTGCTCACTGTTTCTATTTGCTTTTCTTGTACTTTCTTCTCTTGCTTCGCGTGCTACACGGAATGTGGCGACTTGAACTTCCGCACATTTGTGCAAAGTTCTATGTCGAAAACAGACAGACACGCCCAAACAAGTTCATGCACCATACGATTCATTCGGATTCTGGAGCACATGCACGCTATGGGCTTTAGATCAAACTTTTCCAGCTCTCTTAGGTAGATTAACATGTACACCAGTACTATTGAAATCGTGTGAAGTTCTCCTCCTTCCTCTCATTTTATGTGGATAAGACTGACCTGGGAAGGACTATGAACACGTGGCGACATGAGAAAACTTTGAGAGGAAGATTGGAGTATGCACTTTCTTGGCCGTACCAGGTCGTTTATGAGGGTAGCTGCAACACTGAAGAAAGTTATATACCCTCATTATTAACAGTCATCCCAGATTTAGATTATATAAGGGAAATATTCTTTCATTCTTAGTGGTATAGTCATAGAATCTTAGTATTATTCATTAGCATGCGTGATACATCATCCAAGAAACTTGAATTTCGATACTTTAAAAATTTAATTCCCCTCACGAAAGTTACATGGAAGTGTGCATGCGTGTGTAGAGAGTGTTATAATTTGACTGAATTATTTAGGAAGGATTTATATTGATTTGTTTATAAGCAACCTGTTGATATATATATATATATATATATGCAGTGAAAAGTTTTTTCACATTTTTGATATGGTTGTGTTCTCTGAGCTGGATAGTCTTGTGCGTCGGTGGCACAGTGGTTAGGACTCTCGCCAACCATGCACATGGTCTGGGGCTCGATCCCCTGCCGACGCACTCCCGATATCTATGGTCGGCCTGCAAAATTTAGGCTGCCGATATCCACGCTGAAAATTCCATACTTGTACTAAAAATACGGTATGGCATCAAGCTGTAATCAAAATCAAATTTGCGAAGCTTTCATCGCCCTACTAGGCGACATCTTCAGCGCATACTTCAATTTGTTGAAGTGAGGTTTTAGATTTCTCCACGAGTTTATTAATCATCTCTCCTGGTGACCTTGGACATGATGCCAAGCTCGGCATTCCAGTGAATCATCAATCAATAGACATGTCGAGATAGACAAAATTTATCAACCGATAAGAAAGAAACCTCACACACAGAGGGTCAAATTTCAAGGTGTGAAAACACACAAAAGCAATCAAAGAGTCACGTCCAAGGTCACCAGGAGAGATGATTAATAAACTCGTGGAGAAATCTGAAAGCTCACTCCAACAAATTGAAGTATGCGCTGAAGATGTCACCTAGTAGGGCGATGAAAGCTTCACAAATTAACTACCCAGCTTAGAGAACACAACCACATCAAAATCATCCACATGAGCTACAAATCTTCTCTATCATATCTGTTTTCACATTTGTTTATGCATGTTTTTCTATTGATGATTAATTGTTCTATTACTGCGATACACTTGTGAGGTAGTAATTGTGATAGTTTCTTGTTTTACTTTGTATATCAAGCAAATGCAGCTTCTGGCATTCCTCATGGGCCAAGTAGTCGTAAAGTGAAAAACAAGATGAAAAGTGCAGCTGTAGCTGCAGCAGCAGCTGCAGCAGTGGCTGGAATGTCAATGTCATCCGGTGGGGGTGGTGGACCGGGATGTCCTGGTGTTGTTAGTGGATGCGGGGGAAATGCTGCTGGTGCAAACTCAGCTGTAGCAGCCGCTGCTGCTCTTAATCGATACAGAGGTTATCTTTTTTATCAGGTAAGTGGTATCATTGTCGTTAACTTGGGATATGAAAATTCCCCACAAATAATATTTTACTGTAATTCCCTTGGTTTCGAAACGTAAACAGAGGGCTTCAGCAGCAAACCCCCATTTCATCTTGTTTTCTGCCAGCCTCTGTTGCTGGCCACACAAGTGCACATAAGCCTTTATCTCTCCTCTTGCGATATCCTCACCCTCGAACTCCCAATCTGTCATTTCCCATTTGGATTCCACTCGAGGGTCTATGTCACTCATTGGTCTACTCAGCGTGTGTCCGATCCATTTCTATTTCTTCCTGCATATTTATTGGGTGATAGGTTCTTCATTGATTTGTTTCCAGGGCTCCTTATTGCTTATTCTTTTTGGACAACTGATCTTCAGTATGGAGTCAGAGAAGGCAGCTGTTAATGAAAGTCTAAAGTCTATTGGAAATGTTCTTCATGACCTGTCAAGTCTTTGAGCTATATACAGGCACTGACTTAACCATGAGTAATAGAAATCTCACCTGATGACTAATGGCTGTCTAAACAAGCTCGCAGCATAACATGCTACCTCAACATTTAGTTCTATAACTCTCTAACTAAAAAAGTATCACCGAGTAACCTTTCTGTTTGGTTTAGCTCTATTTATTAAACATCAGCATCACTTACTAAAATATGTACATTTAATCGTTCGTAGTAACTTTTGGTGTGGTGTAACCCTTTACTTCAATAAAATTACAATCAATGGATGTCTATGGAAGAGATCATAAGAAGGCACTGAGGATTGTTATGACGCGTTTTTGTTCTCATGAGCTAAACAAGTTGGATGCAACAAATATGAATGTCATTTTAGTTTCTGATTGCTCTAGATGCTTTCGGTCTTACACTTCATTGTTTTACCTAAAACTTGTAAGTCATGGCAGTTGGTCGTTTGATTGATAAATAATACTCGAAGTGTAGAAGGTGTGTGGCTTTACTACTTTAATCGAATGAAGGATCGAGTAAATGGCCATACTTAATGCTTGTCTGACAGGTACAGCACATATTCGGGATACGATACCAGGATTTGCGTCAGTGTATCCTTTTTTACCTGTGTGATTTAGTGTTATGGAATTTTCTAAACATGAAAAAGGGTGACTCATAAAAGTTGTATATTTTCTGTTATCACCAGGACAATGCAAGATTCACCACTGTCTCTTTCTCCGTATATAGATTTGGTTTAAGTCGTTTGATAGCAATTGCTTCAGCAAAGCGTAGCAAGCTAGGTTTCTTTTGCTTGTTGATTATTTTGAATGACTTCAGGTTTTCTACAATATGACCAGTGTACATCCAATAGATGACGCGCAATCGCACTGTTCAATGCTTGCGGACCTTTCAGTCTCAGGTTCTTTGGTATGTGTTCAGAAATGCGGACAATAACCCTTCTCTCTGTTCTTCCAATGTATGTGCTTTGGCACGTAGATGTAAATTAGTAGACACAGCTGGAGGTAACATGAGGATGGTATTTGTCCAAACAACTAGTTGTTTGATAAACACATACAAGCTTGGCGGTTGGATATGTTCTTTTCAGGGCAGCATTCAGTCTGCATCTTATTCTACTAGCAGTATCATCACCTTTGAATGCAAACTGCAGAAAGATAGGCTTTTTATCTACTGTGCTGCTTTTCACTTTTTCAACATGACGTCTCCCATACTTGTCGATGAACTTTTGTGGGTAACCATTGTCGGGTAGGCATTTTTCCACAATGGGTAGCTCTCCCTCAATCTTTTCTTTTGAACACAGTTTCCTTACACGATCATATAGTGTTCTCACCAATCCCTTTTTGTAACTTATAGGACGGAAGCTTTTGAAGTTAAGATAGACCGCCCTCCAGGCCTCTTTTCTGTGTATATATCTTATGATTTTGCCGTCTATATCTCGTTGGATACTCAGGTCAAGAAAATGGAACTTATCCCCTTTTTCATATTCCATTATAAACTTAATATTAGGATGGGCGCTGTTCAAGACTTTTCATATTTGAGATACATCATTGAAAGAATTACAAATAACGAAAGTGTCATCGACATACCTGGTATAGAAGTTTGTCTGACTGATTGCGGATTTTAACCTTGTTTGTTCTAGACTACCCATAAAAATATCTACCAGAATCGGACCCATGGGGCTTCCCATGGCGACTCCGTCGATTTGGTGGCATAGAGTGTTGTTGAACTGGAACTGTACCTCTTTGTTGCACATAGGTAAAAGTTGTTTGAGTTCGTTCTTGGGCAGTGGAAGAAGTTCGGCATGTTATGAAATTAACAGAATTACTAGAACATATTCAGTGTTTAGCTTAAATTTTACGATTTACTTTTCAGAATGTTCAATTAACATAAAAGCTCATGTAAACTCATCAACTGGGGTAAATAACTATCCAGTATATTGTGATTTGTGTGTGCGTGTGTACGTTTGACTAACTACTTACTAGTTCCTCTGCTTTGTTAATAACATTTATAAACTCTATCAGATCTGTTATCAACACATGTAGCGATATATTAGTACATTTTAGACAGCTGTTAATTTTTCTTCTTATCTATTTATTCATTTGTTTTTATCTTGATGTAGCATTTACAAACCTGGTTCAATATGTTGCCGCAGAATACAAGTGAAGGCAATAATACACAAACTGAATCCAATCCCTCTGTACCACCATATTTATCCCCAGTTATTCATGCTATGATATATAATGAAGACATCCAAACATCATGCTTACATAAAGCTATACGAGATAAATTATCCGTACCCTCTGTACAAATGCATTCAACATTTCGTTCGTCTGGTTCACGTAGAACAGGTGTTTCTGGTAACACTGGAGGTAATATCACAGGAGCAGCGGCTTCATCAAATTTGGGTTATCATTCAAGTGGAAGTGGTCCATCTGCTGGACACTATGCACATTATGGTCTTCATTCATCATCATCATCATCTGGTTCTGGACAACTTTCGCATAATTTGACAGGTCACCCTGCATCCACTGCACCAGCTTTACTTACGCATCACCGACATCGTCATCATTCGACGTATGATCATAGTCAAGGTCAGAATTCAAGTGTTTCAACTACTGAGGCTGGTGGTGGAGTAATCGGATCAGTGAGTAGTTTAAATTCAAACACTGGATCTGGTACAACTGTTGTTCATAGTGGTCCAATAATTCAAAAGAATCCTACTCACATAGCTGCACTTCAAGTAAGCTTTATGTGGTATATTGTATCTCTTAATTTACTTTCTACTCAAAGATTTTTATAGTTTGTTTAGGTGGTAATATATGCTTATGGCTTATTTACCCTATTCACTAAACTCTATGTCAAAGAAAATTTAAGGTCAGTTGGTTAAGTTATCATGGAGAGGTAAACCAATGATAGGGAATGGGTGCGACTGAGTGGTTTTCTTTTTCCGTATAATGTACAGACTTGTTACTCAATTCAGTTTTGTATTATGCAAGGTTATTAGCCACTTTTTACAAAGAAATTAATGCAACACTGAATTAGCGAGCCCCCACTAGTTGTCTGTGTTGGGTGCACTACAAGCAATTCTTCATTCGTCTGACTTTAGGAATTTAAAAAATCTCTAAAACGTTAAGTTACATCATATAGTCAGTTAATGAGGCAATCCAGTTGAATAGTATTTATCACTGATTAATAATATAAGCAGTTGGAAACCACTTATGTCAAATAGTTATGTAGATCGAAGTAATCTGAACACTGAACGGTCGTTCCGTCCGTTTGCGACCAAGCTTATCGGCATGGTAGTTGAATAGATTGATTGAGTAACCTCGCGGAGTGCAATCACCGTGTAATTGAATACTAATTATATGTTTACATAAAAATATCTGGTCAACCTTATGTGCAGCACTCTGATAACACGGTGTATGTACTGAGTAATTAGAGGAAGTAATTTTATTTTTCTGCCATACCCATGCTTTCGACTGTTTTCAGTTATTTTGTGCATGATTACTTCGCATATGAAGTAGACGTTGGTATTCACAAGCACCACATATTAGTAAAGTAGGTTAGTATGAAAGGTACATTTCGAAGTTGGAAGTTGTACAAAAATCATAACTGTTTATTAGCATAGCGCATACATTCATTTTGAGGTCAATGTAAATAATATGAAGGGTAGACACATAAAGCAGTAAATAAAGGAGGAATAAAACCATATGTATCGGTCATTCATTGGTAAGGTGCTTGCCAACCACGCACCCGATCGATGTACTCCTAAATCTTGCTTAGTCGGTAGCAAGTTCAGTAAAGAGGGGGAAGGTTGGGCGCGAGGCTAGCAACCCCACTCCGTAAAGACAACACCGCTACTGAAACTTCAAGACTTAAAGTTGATGCTTTCTGTTCCACTCGGGACGCAGTGAGATAAAAAAAGCCATACACGTGGATAACTTATCAGATTGGATAGGCGTGAACTAGACTTCAGCTTGATTTCCTAACAAGAGTCATTGGCATAGTAAGATTTTGATTACTGATATGTTCATCGTTCAATCTTGTCATTAGAAATGCCTTTTGTTTTCTGTTATCAAGGAGCATAATATCAATCCAGACACTTTGATTACACCTGCTATGGTCATTAAAAATAAAGAAGAAAGAGAAGCTCGCCAGCGTGCTGAAGCAGCTGCAGCAGCGGCAGCGGCATTATCAGCTTCGAGTCAAGCCAACGCATCTGCCACATCTACTAGTTCTCAGATTTCTACATCATCCGCATCTGCTGATTCGGGTACTTCTCAAAGTGATGCCATCACATCAGATCCCTCAAATTCACAGAATACAGAAGGTGTGGGTGTAAATTCTCAAAGTTCTCATCCATCATCTGATCACGTGATTAAAACATCAGCAAATTATACTAGTGCTTCCAGTGAGTCGACAACCTCATGTAATCTTTCAACAAATTCCTCAACTGTTCCTCTTCCTACAACTTCAATTTCAAGTGGTGGTCGGGCAAGTGCACAGTTGTCATTTGCGCATAATTTATCTCAAAGAGCAAACAGTGTAATGGTAAGCTACTTTTGTGGTACAACGTTTTGTAATTGTACTTTTACGTTACTTTTAAAATGTTCGATTCACTCGGCTGATTAAGATTCTCTGTTTATCAATCATTTTTGGTTTCATATACTCACTTAAAATTTTACATTAAAAGTATCTTACACAATCCAACTACCTATTACTATGTTCCTACTATTCTGTAAAGATTGTAAAACAACCGAATCCGTACTTCTCAAAGGACACAGTGAAAACTTTCGAGTTGTAGTAACTTTTCCTTTTTGGGAAGTTATCAAAAGTTTGTTTCAAGATTATATCTTTTGTATTGACTTAGGACCTGTTGTAATGTGTTATTAAAGTTGTTATGTACTGGTTGAGAATTTAATAGTCCTGACGCAAGAAAGACGGAAATCAGAAGACCACTAGGTTCGCGATGATACTTCTATTTTCCAAACACAAGGAGAATCAAAAATGTCACACAAGAGTGTGAGCAAAAATATATGAATGTACGAACAAGTGTGTGAACGAATGTTCAAAATGAACAAATCAATAGACAGTCTTAACATGATTGGCTAATTATAATGGAATATCGATGCATATATACATAGCAAAATATATCAGACTGTCAAACAAACACATATTATATGGATACATATCACCAAGAACAGACTGTCAACAAACACACATATTACATGGATACTCATCAGAAGTACAATCAAATTCCTCAAAATTTAGGTATGCGATAAATTCTCGGTCTGTCTGTGTTGGAATAGTTTATTTAACGACGCGCATCACCAATCTGATTATTATTGTTATTACTATTACATTTCGGTTCCGAGTGTGGAAAGTAGGGCCTTAACAGCACACCTCCATTTCACTCAGTTCTCCAGAGTAGTCCGCTTTGGCTGGCCACACGATCACCCATAAGCTTTCTTTTCGTCATCACTCCATGTTAGAGAGGTTTCATGTACAATCCGAAATGCACACGAAACCTCTCTAATCCCATGTTACCCTCTCTTGTAATGGCGTGTTTACACCCAACCCTTAGTTTCTCACTCGGCTTCCACTTGAGGGTATGGTGTGTGATGTCACTCAACAGTCGTCTCAACTTATGTGCAATCCATATTAGTTTCCTTCTGCATATTTTTTCGGTTATAGGTTGTTGGTTGCTTTGTTCCCAGAGTTCCTCGCTGCTAATCCTTTCTGGCCATCTGATCTTCAGTATGATTCGAAGGCAGCTATCAGAGATGCTTTCGGTGACTCTGTGCATCAAGCTTCTGAACAATAAAATGAGAAGCACTGACTGTCTTGACGTTATTGTTGAAAATCCTTTTGATGTTCTTTATTCTGAGTACACTAGATTTCCACACTGTTTTCATGTTTATGAAGGTCTGTCTTGCTTTTCCAATCCTGACCGGCTCTGACATCCTCATCTGTGCTGCTTGTAAGTTGAAACGATGCTGTCTAGATAGTTAAAAGGAACGGGTTACTTCCTTCGGATATTACCCACTGATGGTGATTAGTGCTTGTTATTGTTATTGCCGGTTAAGTATCTCCATCACCTTTTTATTTTCTATGAATTTACTTAGAACTTTGAGGTTTGCTAAATCCTTAATTTCACCTAATCACAGTTAATGTCTCAAATATTCTAAGGTTGGAACTCATTAGAGTGTTGATGTATGAATAGCATAATTTCGTCAAGCAAAACTCACACCATTTGTCTAGGTATCAGTTAATAGTAAGATGTCGTCCATATGATTGAGTGTCTAAGTAAGCACACATCTTTACCTTTTCGCAGATTCCATATTCGGACTCTCTGGTTACGATTCAGATAAATGCTTCAAAGCTTGTAACTTTTTACATGAGATCAAACAACATTTCTGATATAGGAGCGTTTGTAAGTAACTTCAGGACTGTCATATGGTAGTCATCGTTTCAGAAATCTATATCAGACCCTTCTAACCTCCATCTCCACTCAGAAGATAAGGAACGAACAATAGATATAGTAGTAATATCTAATACAATCATTTTGTTAATGGATGATATGATATAAGTACCACATAAAGTTCCACCATATATATCAGTTCATATTGTGTTACCATGTCGTACACTATGCATACAGATAACTGTTTACACTACATGACTATTCGCATTTATCTTGATCTTTTGTAGCTACCAATTCGTTCCAGTTTTAACAGTAATACTGGTACTTCATCAGGTACTGTATTATCTTTTACTGGACAGCAACCACAACAACGTTTAATCAGTGTACAAAACACTTCTTCGTCTCCATCAACTGGTCATTATCAATTTCAACCTCGTCAAACTTTATTGCATTCTTCAGTTGGTCGTTTAACTCAATTAACACCAAGCGGATCAATCAGTAATACTCAACACGTATCTCCATCTAATAGTCATCATGTAATATCATCTAGTTCAGGTGGTTCATCGTCACCAGATGATAATGCACCACGGAATATAGACTTAACTTCTAGTAATATTTTAATTCCTGGTAACTGGCGTACAGCGTCTAATTCACGATCACTTAATGTTCAAGTAAGTAGATTTACTTTCATTTCTATTAATTAGTAGAAAATTCACTAAGTATACTTACCATGTAGCTTTCTATTACATTCAGAAATTTAGTGCTATACTTGTGGAATCCAGTATGTGAACTATGTAGATATTTTTTTCTCTATTCCTTTTACATTCCTATTAGAACATAGGACTTCAAGCTAAAATTCTGAAAATTTAAATAGCGGTGGTTTTTTTATTTTTACGTGGTGGGGTTGTTAGCCTCACACCCAACCTTCCCTCTTTACCTGGATTACTACCGGCTTAGCGAGGTTTAGGAGAGTTCAATTCCGTATTAGATAATCAAAGCGGGATGCTGTATCAACAACTGGATGTCAAGGTTTCGAGCAAAAATGTCATAGTGTTTTAGTCTATTGCTTTGTTAGTTTGACTGACTATGGTTATAATTGAGATAATACTGGACTTGAGTTTATTCTTACTGCTATTTCAACGAACGATATTATGCGACTGACCACTGGAAGAATAATAAGACACAGGTGACCGACTGAGCAAATAGAGATTTAATTCTATTGGGAACAGTTACTAAGCTGAGAAATTTCAACTAACATTATACTTTCTTCACATCGACCAATAAATTATTAGTTTGAGATATGAAAACCATGATTTGATTGAATAACGTACACCAATAAAAATCTAATGATATAACCGTTAATCTACATTAGAGTGAGTTGTTCGGCTTACAGACCGTGTGGAAAACACTCATTATGTCTCCCTTCCTGTGCTAATAACGATAGTTGACAAATAGAAATGCTGATTGTGCTATATTCATCTTCTCATTTAGTGTTTTTGGCTCCTCTGAGTCTATTTAAGACTTCAAGCGGTAGTTGAATTCGTTGACAAATTTGTAGAAAGGTTGTATCTGTACATTCTCCTTCGTAGTTTGTTGAATTGAACTATCATCTACTTAAGATTACTGAAAACTACCGTAGTTAGTAGTAGTGCATATGGTTTGTAAGCGACTACTCGAGTTCTCTATTCGTCCACTAAGGAGGCACACAGAATTGTTCCTTCAGGACAGAAAGCAAAAGAGAAGAAGTTATACCTGTTTATGTAGTTAGATTATGTGACCAATAAATTACAAGTTTAATGTATAGAAATTGTGTTCTTGCAGCGTACCAATAAAAATTGGATAATACGATCTTTAAAAAAAACTCTTTAAAACTGGTTGAGTAAAATCAGTATTTGTATACCACTCAAATCAACCAGTAGTGCTTTTTAGCCAAATCTAAGTGATTACCATTTATGGTATCAAGTAGATCACATGGTATGGTGATCGGAATAATTTTAGTGTGCAAAGGCAACTGTGGTGAACTTTGTAAATTGCTAATTAATTTCCAACTTGTGAACTTTGATTGAACACGAACTTTGATCTACGTTAAAGGCTAAATATTTACACCACAGTTTACACAGAAAACAGTGACTAATAATATCGCTCCTTTCTGTTGTAACATTGTTTTGTTCAACCTTATAGCTGAGAAGTGGAGACTGGATTTAGAAATCACGAAAGCACTACCAGTTTTTGAATATAAATACCTTCGTTCACTTGTATACATGTCAGGCGGAACAGTTTGATAATTGACACTGAAATTAAACTTAATTGTTGATATAAGTTGCTTGGGGGGTAGAGCTAAGAATGGATTATCGAAGGGTGTAGTTGATAGGTCTCAATATTGTAAGCATTATTTACCAGTCTTTATGTAGTTATTTTCTTAGACGCCAGATCAATCTCTTATAGAATTATTCTATTTCCTTTCTATTCTTTTTGTTTGCTGCGTTGAGGTATGGCAATTTGCACTGACACCACTTAGCGAATCATTGAAAACAAGTGATTCGTCCCATTGTTCACTCTCTACCTCATAAGAAATTAAACCGAGGATCGCTTCGTGATAACATCTACCCTAAAACCAATCTGACGTCCTTTTTACCAAAGCGACATAGTCATTTATTGAATGTGATTCAATTGAGTCCAATTTATCAGTTAGCGTTTCTGTAGTCAATTTCGTTTAGTTTTTGCGCCTTAGTTCTTCTGTTGTCAGATTCAGTCTTTAGGCATTCGAACCACTTGTTACCATTAGTTGTTTTGGTTGCTATACTCAATGTCTTACATCATTTTTTTCTTATGTTTTAGACGATTGTTTCATCTACACCAACTGTTCTCCGACGTTCTTCCACATTCACGGGCATTAGTTTAGCTGGTCAGTCGAATAGTGGACTTCAAACTTGTCGGCTTAATCCTGCAACATCTAGTGTTTCTCAGAGTTTGTCAACCGCTTCATTCACTGGTACTTATATGAATACACAAATTGCGAAAATTCCTAATTCCCCTTCTTCCTCAGCACAGTCGAACTTCTATGTACAACAACGCCCACAATTCTTGTCAACTGCACAAACTTCAATGTCTTCACCTACTCGTGGTGTTTTTACACCACCGTCAAATGTTGCTGTAATCCCGAGTGTATCAAGCAGTTATTCGACCCCTGTTACACATTTACCTCAAATTCTTCGTCCTAGAAATACAGTAAGTTTTCACTATGAAGAAATTATACTTCATCATCATGTTGATGTTATACACAAATATCTAGTAACAAAGTAATCTTGTACAAATTTATTTACTTGACCAATGCATTAGTCCTAATTATCGTAGGCTATTGTTGTTATATTCAAGTATTGGTTTTATAGGGATTTTGTTTGATTGCATGGAGGATTTCATCATGAGCTGACATTAGAAAACCTGATAGTACTGGATAGCTGTTTCGTCCTAGTTTGGGATTCTTCAGCAGTACGCACCCACCGGGGTTCGAACCTAGGATTTTCTGGTTACAAGGCGAGCTCGTAGACCATTGAGCCACTGCGACCCGACCCAATGGTTCTTGAATTCTTGTTGTTATACTCAGATGGTAATATGTCGATGAATATTTGAGCGTGTAACCGATTAATAATCATTGATGGGCGTCACATGTTAACTTATATTTTTCTTTTGATGCAAAGGTGTTTCTAGACAGAGACTAGGTTGATTCATATGAACTATGTTCAAAATTTGACAGAATAGTTCTAAAATAATTGGGCGCCGAGTCGGTTGGTTTCATGTTATTTGAAAAATCTAGCTGGGATTCTCAACAGGTTTTAATAACTATTCAGTGTCTGTTGATATCGACTACCTCATCAACCACTTACCTCTTCTTCATTTATCAATCCAAGTGTCAGAAAATAGGAAATATATGTAGGAAAGTAGTAAATACTCAGATTAGTTTTCTTATCTAATCGGCGTAGGTTGAGGAGGTATTGGAAATCGACTGTTTGTTTCAGCTTTAATATTCTTCTCACAATTGTACCTCGACACAGCACTGTTTAGTGTATTTTGACTTTGCGTGTTTCTTTTAATGATATCTATCTGTAGTGGTGGTTGGTTACAGCCCAGTTTCCTGGGATAGATTTTTCATATACGCTAGCCTATGAGCAACATATAGTGCATAAGGGCTGATGAAACTATCCCAGTTGGTCAGGATGAAGTAGGAGGAGAAGTAAAATTTAAGTCTTGGATCTGTTATTTGAAAATCGAGTACTTGAGCCAATGCAGTGTATTTAAAATGTCCTCGGTTCAAATAGCTGTGAAGGGAGAGTGCGTCGGAAGCACAGGGGTTAGGACTCCCCCCGACAATACACGTGATCCAGGGTTTGATCTCCTGCCGATGCACACCTGATATCTATGATCGGTTTGCAGAATTTGGGCTACCTATATCACATGCTGAGAATTCCATACTTGTACCGAGAATACGGTGTTGAATCAAGATATAATCAAAAAACATAACGGAGGTTTACATATAAATTACTTATTTCAATTTTGCTGAGATTTTACAAATATAATTTTTCACAAATGTCTAAAGTAACAAAGGTTTGTAAATAAAGAGGACATCTCTTCTTTTTAAAAACTTTGTCCAATCATGTGAGTCATGAAACAGTCATCATAACATAATGAACAAAACTGTATGAGTTGTGATGATAATTTGACCTCAAACTTACAAATATTAGTTTACTTTTGGTAAACACTGTAAACAGTGTGTACTTTTACATCAGAATTTGAGTGATTACGTTTGACTAAAGTTCATGGTCGTAGGTAACTGAATATGAAGATATATGTGTAAATCCGGTATACAATGGTGTGTGTGTGTATGCGGCAACAATTGTAAATCATTTGTTAGTCTCTCCATAAGAGGATAAAGTCTATCGGGAATTTAGATTAGGTATGATTGATTAGTGATACATATCCGTTTTTATTCATTAATCAGGACTTGTCATGCATCAGCTAAATTTATACCTTCACGTCTGTTGAAAACCTTTATGGATTTACCCATATATGTAGGGCCTCTGCAGTCAGTCTTTCTTTATACAAACCAAAACCTTTCTGCAGAACCTTGGTCCTATCAAAACCGGTCTTGTATCCCGTTTCTATCTAGTTCACTGTGTTCGCCGATCTGCTTTCTAGCTCTTTCAAGTTTCCAGAGGTCTTTGGAACCACCTTTGTATATTGTTTTTGCTCCTTCACTCCTATATTTACCTGTCAAGAAGTTTACCCTACATATAAGGCGTCACATTCCCTACAATTGATCTAGTACATATAATTCTGTTGGTTGTCTTCTGTTTTATCCTTAACCTTCACTAGTGATTATAAGGTCTCCGTTTCTTAACTCATATGAATGGACAAAGATTTTATTTATAAATCTTTGTTACTTTAATTTCGATTAATTTCCCTGAAGAAGTTCGGACCAGTTTGCCGGCCGAAACGTTAGTATTACTCACTTCAGTTATCCTGAGATTTTACAAATATAGTTTTGACATATGTCTACTTCTCACTCGGTTTGCAATTATTTTGGAGCTATTCAATCAAATCTTCATCACATCTAATAGGAAATAAGAATAATTTATCTACACAGGGAGTAAAGTTTTGTTATTATCCTGTGTAGAAGTGAAACTCATCATGAACACTGATTCACTAACTTGGCTTCTCTCAGACTAGTGTGATTAGTAAATTCTTCTCAAATAGTAACTTAGATTATGCAAGGGAATGGCCATATTTTTGTATGATATTTAGACACATTCCAATTGGAATTGTACAACAACCGTTTTAAAGGCATATACAAGATCTATTTATCAAGATAATGAACTAAGATTGTCAGTGTTTCCATCGACCAAAGGGCGGGTGTACTGCTCATCAGTCTGCTCCGTCCTCCTTTATGGCTGTGACACCTGGCCATTGAGAGTGGAAGACATGAAAAGATTAGCTGTCTTCGATCATAGGTGCCTGCGCTCTATCTCCCGTGTGAAGTGGTATAATAAGGTGAGCGAAATTGAGGTTGGGCCTAGGTCAAGTGGAGGGGAAATCATCCGACGAGATTGTGAAGTTACAAAGACTGAGATAGTTAGGACATGTGTTACGTATGCCAAGTCATCGCCTTCCTCGACGAGCAATGTTAGCGGATATAGGGTCAGGCTGGAAAAAAGCTAGCGGCGGTCAAACAAAAACTTGGCACTAGTCAATGAAATCCACAACAGTTGGTCTAAGCCACGTAGGAAGGTGTAGACTTTCCGGTTGGGGTCCTCGAGACGGTAAAAACCAATGGTTGGAAACAATTGGTGACGTGGCTGAAAATCGTTCTCAATGGCTGGTGCAGATGCATCCACTCCCTGTGACTTATGATTTCCAATGAAACTATATTGTTCTTCGTCAATACTATTCCTTTGTCTCACACCTCTGTTTACTGTCTCTATTGTGCATTTCTTCTTCTTTCTTCTCTTGCTTTGTGTGGTACATGGAGGGAGTGTGACGACTTGAACTGGTGCACATATGTGCAAATTTCTGTGTCGAAAACAGACAGATAGTGTTTCCATCTTCAGTAAATTGGCTTGAGCTTATTCATATCTTGTCTGCAGTTCATGTCTTATTCAGATTATTATATAAATGTACATATTTATTTTCATTTTGATACATTTGTGCTAAGTTGGATTATTTATTTCTACATTTTTAGATTCGTGGTTCAGTTGTCCAACCAGCTTTTGTCCGCACCATTCCTGTTAGTAGTGGTAATGCTGCTAGTGGGGGTTCAGGCGGTTCAGTTGTTCCTGTCTCAACAACACAACTTGGAACTCGTCTATCACCTAGTGTAGGTGTTTCTGCATCAAATATACTTCATGGACGTGTCACTACCCTCACTGTCTCCTCAAATAATCCATCCGTTGCTAATATTCTTAACTCACGTACCGGAACACAGCATAGTATATCACCTACTGTCTTTCAGTCGTTAAGGACATGCATTTCAGGAGGTGTTAATAATCCTCCTGGGAATAATGAACAGCCTCATCAATCGTTGTCATATGGCGGCAGCACTGGTGGGGTTGGTGGTGGTAATAATAATAACAGTAGTAGTAAATCATAAAATCTTTGTTATTTCGTCATATCCCTTTTTTGCATGGAAATGTACTCAGACACATCTTTCCTGATATTAATATACTCCTTCTTTGAACCAGTAATTATGCAATTTCATTCTTTTGTATATGGTAATCAAATTAGTCAGGGTTTGCTTTTTTTTCCTCGTCCTCTTCTCACTATTCACACACATGCATCAGTTACTTAGATTACCTCATCAACATATTCACTTTTGAATGGGATATATATATATATATATACCTATTTATGTGCTAAATACTTGTCAACAGCATTTGTCGATCTCCCTTTGTTCGTCCAATGTATCCAACCTTTTACTTATCTATGTATGCTTTTAGATGCTATTTGCTTTTTGTTTTTGTTTTTTTTTTTACTTTTCATTACACATACGTATTTGTTATGCTGCATATATTTGTCCCATTTTGTATATTTCATTCTCTGTCTACTACTAATGTGAAGTAGTAGTACTTTTACCGTTTGTTGGTTTCCGCCCCGCCCCCCCCTACCTTCCCGTTTTTTTGTTTTTGATCATTCATTGTGTAAATTTCTGCGTCTTCTACGTGTTTGATGAGCTATATTTATATCTGTTATTTTTCAGTCTCCTCCGATAACTCTGTATTCTCCCCAGCGTTCAGTGAAAGAAATATATACATATATTGCTTTGTCTTGGATTTGTTTGTTTTTATATCAGTGATTACGCATGGTTTTTGTCTTCTGCCGGTTGTATATTTAGGTTTTAACAGGGATAGAATAAACTTTGGTACAGAATAGTATAGATCCGTTTTTATTTTATTGGTCCTCGTCAACTGCATACAACCTATACTACTTAATAAAAGAAAATTCTATTACAATTTTAACATATATTTTATTTTTCATTATGAATCAGTCCCATAAGAAGGACAACGTTTGCCGTAAAAAATAGAAAAGAGTTTGTTGTTAGGGTGGTGATAATGGAATGGAGATAACAAAATACAGTGATTAGGACTGGTAAGCCTGCAGAATCAAAATTTGGTGTGTTTACGAAGTCGAATGAAAAGGTGACGACGTAATACAATGATTAGAGTTCAAAGTATCAAAATTTAAGTCTAATATGAAAGTCAACAGACTTCACAAGACAGAGTTATGAAGAAGAGAGTTACCAGGGTAGTCGAAGTCTTACGACGGATTGCTTTTGAACACAGTTTTTTATTGCAATAGCTTCAGCAAATTGAAAAAGACAATCTGTTTGCTGTTAATTACGTAAAATACATAAACTAAGTGTCTTGTGTGTTTCAGGTGTTTGGTAATTGACGGGTTCATGATGATAAATACAAAGTATATTAAATTGAAGTATGCGCTGACGATGTTGCCTAGTAGGGCAATCAAAGCTTCGCAAATAAACCATCCAGGTCATAGAACACAACTACATAAAACATACATTAAATCTATCTGTATTATAACTTATTATGCTAAATTATAAATTATTTAAATTAATCCCAGCATGTTAAGAAAATCAAAACAAGATTTTTCTGAACGTTTCGCCGTGTAAGTCACAGCTTCTTCAGCAGATTTATTCGGATTATAATTAATCATCAAAATATATAGTCAAAAATTTTTTACATAAAATGAAGTCAGTTTATTTGAAGGTCATTTCTCCATGAACATTTTTTTACCAATAGAAGTATGTAAGCTGTCCTCACATATATTTGTAATGACTAATGTCAAATTGTTGTTGTGTTTACTCTTCTATAGTTGACTTGTAAAGATTAGATTTGTATGCATGTGTGTGTATGTATGTTATTTGTCATATGGAAAATACGTGAATTCATATGTGATAAACGTGTCACTACATGTTTTAAAGGTCATGGAGGCTCATAGAGTGTTTGTTGTTTTTTCATTTGTCTTGCTTCATAAGAGTTTGCCATATAGGTGATAAGTCTATACCTTCCTTCCTATTCACTGCATTTGATGTGGTTAAAATGTGCAAGGCTTCTGAAGTCAATCTTTCTTTATGTGAATGAAATCCTCTTCCAAGAATTTCGACATTGTCAAAATCAATCTTATGTCCGCTGTCTATCGCATGCATTGCTATAGCCGATCTTTTTTCTAGACTTTTTAATTCTACTTCATTTCTAGGTGGACGTTTCGTGCAAAGTCTATGTTCATTCACTCTGACTTTCACCTGCCTACTGCTCTCCCCTATATAGCATGCCTCACATTCTGAACACTTTATCTTGTAGACACAATTACTTTGTGACATTTTGGGAACTATATCTTTAACATGCACTAAAGCTTTCTCTAGAGAATTAGAAGGTTTGACATAGACTTTAATATTATATGCAGCAAATAGTCTTTGAAGTTGTTCAGCTGTGTCTTTTCGATATGGAATGGCTATCGTCGATAGCCAGGATTTTTCAACTTTTTGTTTTTCTCTATGCTCCTTTCTATTGATGATATTATCTAGTAGCTTTTCAGGATAACCATTTCCAATCAAAATCTGTTTTATATTGGTTATCTCGTTCTCCATATCGTCATTATCAGTTATAATGTTTCTAGCTCTGTTAAAGAGATTTAAAGCTACTGAGACTTTCATTCCTATTGGATGATCTGATTGGAAATTCAAATACTTATTGGAATGTGTCGGCTTTCTGTATATGGTAAACTTTAGTTTCTCGTCAGTTTGTCTTTTTACAAGACAATCAAGAAAGTTTAGAGTTCCCTCCGCCGATTCTATTTCATTAGTAAACTCAATATATTCTGAGATTGAGTTAATTTCTGTTAAAAAGTCTTCTTTTTCAGCTTTCTTTATGACAATAAATGTGTCATCTACGTATCTGTACCATATTCTAGGATGACAGCTAAGACTTGTCAATGCTTTCTTTTCTAAGGCTTTCATATATAAGTTTGCTACAATTGGAGATGCCGGTGAACCCATTGCAACTCCATTTGTTTGACAGTATAGTTTATCTTTAAATGTAAAATATGTTGATTCCAAACAAAGTTTTAAACATTTTATAACCTCATCTATTGATAATAAAGATTTACTTAATACTTCTTGATTGTTTTCAAGTTCATATTTCATAATATCCAGTGACTCACATATAGGAATACTAGTAAATAAAGAAACCACATCAAAACTTGCCATAATCTCGTCTTCTTCAATAATTATATCCATTACTTTCTTTTTAAATTCATCAATATTTTTGATGTTCGAAGGAATATTGTATTGAAGTGGTTTCAGTATTCGTGATATGTATTTTGATAAAGTATATGTTACTGAATTGGTAAAATCGATTATTGGTCTTAAAGGAACGTTTATTTTATGTAATTTTGGCCTTCCATAAAATCTCGCGGCCGTGTTTGTCTTGGGAGCTATTGAGAACCAAACTGAATTCCCCAGTTTTGGTTTCAATTCTCTAAGTATATTGCATACTTGGGCTTTTACTTTGTTCATAGTACTAGACATTTTGTTTACTGGTACTAATGTGTATGGCCCTGTTTCGATATGTGAGGACAGCTTACATACTTCTATTGGTAAAAAAATGTTCATGGAGAAATGACCTTCAAATAAACTGACTTCATTTTATGTAAAAAAATTTTTTGACTATATATTTTGATGATTAATTATAATCCGAATAAATCTGCTGAAGAAGCTGTGACTTACACGGCGAAACGTTCAGAAAAATCTTGTTTTGATTTTCTTAACATGCTGGGATTAATTTAAATAATTTATAATGAATCAATCTGACTCGGCGCTCAAATTATTCCAGGAAGTTCGTAACACCTACGGTCTGTAAACTTATAATATTATGCTAAATATTGTAGATTGTATGCATCTAACGGAATTAAATGAATCTATATATTTCTGCACTAATGTTTGGTTTATCTCTATTCAAATTTATAAAGGGGAATTCGTATAGGAAGTATGCGCGTGTGTGGTTAACATTTTCGCACTAATGAATACGATAAAGAACATAGATTTATGGTATACAACTACAGATGTCTAGTGACATTTTTTTCATATCACTTAATGGATTCCTATTTCTGTAAACTTTGGGGATTTTACAGCAGTGAAAGTAAATTTCTCTTCTAAACTTACCTGCTGAAGCTGTAGCAAGCCAGAATGATTTGGATGCAACAATTGGCCAACAGAGTATGTTTCCCTGGCCAAGTTAAACTTTAAGCACCACCAACTACCAATCAGCGAACGACGTCGGATTATCCAATAAGATTCATGAACGCGAGTTCAATGTTGTATAGCGCTTGATTCGTTTCAAATGCATGCCCTAACGAAGTTACGGTTTCAATTCGAGGAGGATAATGTTTTCAAGTATTGGCTTGATTTGGGGTTGTTTAGGAAAGAGAGAATTCGTTCGTGTGGTGGTGTGATGAGTTTAAAAAGCTTTAGTAGGTTGACTGATGGATAGCCTCATCTCAACAGTTCACTGGTATCAGCACTGCAGACACATTTTTATTTATTTTATTTTTTTGATTACAGCTTGATTCCACACTGTATTTTTGGTACAAGAATGGAATTTTCAGCATGGATATCGGTAGCCTAAATTTTGCAGGCCGACCATAGATACCAGGTGTGCGTCGGCGAGGGCTCGAACCCCGGGCCATGTGCATGGTCGGCGAGAGTCCTAACCACTGTGCCACCGACGCATCGTAGAGAGAAGACATCGTTGTGCACGTTGACGAAACTGTGCTGCTGAAGAAAAAATACAACCGTGGTCGTTAGCGAGCCAACAATATTTGGGTAATTGGTTTGTACGACACCTCCCTCCGAAAAGGATTTGTGTAAAGAAGAGCAGATAGAAAAGCAACTACTCTAATAACTATTATTTCCAGACTTGTGAAACGGAGATCAATAATACATACGGATGAATGGAAACGTTACAACTCTCTGTCATCTCTTGGATATATTCATCATAGAGTGAACCATTCCAGTGATTTTGTCGATCCTGTTACGAGGACACACACAAATTCTATTAAAGGATTTTTGGGGAGGTTGAAAAATAGGATTAGGGTTATAAATGCATTTCAAAAGGAACTAATTTATAGTCATTTGGCTGAATGTGGTGTGACTTCTCTATTGACACTACTAAGCTTAACTGGGAGATGTTTCTCTCATATGTTAGAGAAAGATCCCCTCTGTAACTATTTCCTTTATCAAACATTCCTCTTTCGTGTGATTGGTCCTCTCGAGGTTGTTTGCTGATTGGTTGTTAGTGGTGCTAAAAGTTTAACTTTGCTGTTTCCCTTCTAACTCGGGAAAGCTTTATAAAATATAAAATGAAAACAAGTTACTGCAAACGCTTTATGTAGCTTGAGTCGATCTTGTTTTAGTTAAGTTGGCCATTTGGTAGACGTTAATAACACGAAGGAGATAATTCAGATTACCACTGTTGACTTTCGAGGTAAAAGTGTGCTTTGTACAATTGTACTAAAAATATATTCTTTAAAATTGATAAGATTGTATTGACACATGAACTCTATGTACAGTTGAAGTGTAAAAACTATAGGAGTTATCTTTCATTACCGATATATGTGTTTGAGATCTCCACACGTAATATCCATAAAATTTTATTATTTTTTATTGTTTCCTTGGGTTCCGAGTGGGACATAGGCCTTTCAACAACACACCTCCACTTAGTTCTACTTTCTGCTGTTCTCTTCAGCTGAGTCCAC